CTTCCAGAGGTCCCGAGTTCAATTCCCAGCAACCACATGGTGGCTCACAAACATCTGTAATGAGACCTTGTGCCTTCCTTGCCAGCAGTACATGGGATGCTTAATAAATAAATCTTTAAAAAAATAAAAATAAAAATCCAAGTGGCCAAAAGTGGGCAGAGGAAAGACCAGGGAATCTCAACCCTACACAAAGAACTAAAGGGAACTATGGAATGCTGAGAGTAAGAGACATACTCTTCCCCAGGGAGGGGCACACCGTTTCGTTATCTGATACCAAATAGCCAGTCATGAAAACACAGATACATGCCACATTATACAGACTGAGTTGGTTATACTTAGAAATATGTATGTGTGTGTATAGATATATATGCATGTAACAACAATCAATGCAAAAAGAGGTCATGAATAATCCCAGCACTTGGGAGGCAGAGGCAGGCGGATCTCTGTGAGTTCGAGACCAGCCTGGTCTACAGAGCTAGTTCCAGGACAGGCTCCAAAACCACAGAGAAACCCTGTCTCGAAAAACCAAAAAAAAAAAAAAAAAAAGAGGTCATGAATCTGAGAGAAAATAAGGTGGGATATGGGAGGGTTTGGAGGGAGGAGAGGGGAGGAGGAAATGATACAATTATAATATGAAAAAGAAAACAACTGGACAGGCGTGGTGATACACACTGTAATCCCAGCACTTGTCTCTACACAAGACAGAACACCAACTACATAGTCTAAGGCCAGCCTGGGTTATATGAGACCCTATCTAAAATAAAGAACTTAGTGGGGCAATGGTGGCGCACGCCTTTGATCCCAGCACACAGGAGGCCGAGGCAGATGGACCTCTGTGAGTTAAAGGCCAGCCTGGTCTACAGAGTGAGTTCCAGGACAGCCAGGGCTACAAAGAGAAACCTTGCCTCAAAAAACCAAAAAATAAAATACAAATAAAAACTCAGGGGCCTGGAGAGATGGCTCAGCACTTGCTGCTGTTTCAGGAGACCATGGCTCAGTTCCTAGCACCCATGTGGCTGTTACAGCTGTCTGCTCCGGGGATCTGGTGCTCCCTTCTGGCTGCCTTGGCCACTTCAGTCCATGGTACACATATGCAGGCACTGTACACATAGTATAAAAGAAATAAAACTAAGAAGCTGACCTTAATTTCGGCTAATTAAAAAATACAAAACAAAGAATGCAGATGGCCCAAGTTCTGGAGTAAGCTGATTATAGGAGGGCAGGGCAAGGGCTGGGGAGTTGGAATGGGAGGTAAATATAATGGGTCTTGGGGCTGGAGATATGGCTCAGTGGTTAAGAGCACTGACTGCTCTTCCAGAGGACCCAGCTTCAACTCCCAGCAGCCACATGGCAGCTCATAACTGTCTGTAACTCCAGTTGCAGGGGACCTGACACCCATGGGAAAAACACCAATGTATATATAATGAAAATAAATAAATTTAAAATATATATAATGGGTCTTGCTTGCATGAACTGGCTGAGGAAAAGCCAGGGCAGAGGAGAGAAAGACCATGGCACTCATTACCAAACCAAAAAATCAGTACTGTCTACATTGAAAAACAGGTGGTACTCATCCCTTATTGCAGGGTCTCACTGTGTAGCTCAGGCTAGCCTCAATGTGCACCAGTCTTCCTGCTGCCACCTTGAGTGCTCGGGTTGCAAGTATGCACCATCACACCTGCCATCTTACTGTCTTTCCACTGGGCTTTCCCAGCTTGCGTAGTTTCACTTCTTTCTCTTTAGCTCTATGTTTTTCATGTGTGGCAGAAGCTGCATGCTTCAGAGCCCCATCATTTCACTCCCTCGGATGCCCCAGAAATAGCTGGGGTGACCTGATGTGAACAGTCCTCACTTGAGCAATCAAACTTTTGTTTTAAAAGAAAACCTTGGTTAATTCTGAGCAGATGTTTTTGTAAACCAATGAAGTAATCTCTTAGGTAGTGGCACAGACAGCTGTGAACTACAGCTTCAAAGGGCCCCAGCAGCCCTGCACTGAAAAAGTCAGCTGCTGTAGGCCTCTGTCTGTTCCAGGTATCCAGACTGGGCTGCTTGGCTGTGCGTGTCAGTTTGACACAAGCTAGAGTCACCAGAGAAGAAGGAACCTCAGATGAGGAAAGGCCTCCATGAGATCCAGCTCTAAGGCATTTTCTCATTTAGTGATCAATGGGGGAGGGCCCAGCCCATGGTCCTAGTTTCTAGAAGAATAAGAAGGCTGAGCAGGCCATGAGGAGCAAACCAGTAGGCAACCCCCCTCCATGGCCTCTGCCTCCAGGATCCTGCCCTGTTTGAGTTCCTGTCCTAACTTCCTTCAGTGGTGAACAGCAATGCTGAAGTGTAAGCCAAACAAACCCTTTTCCTCCCCAGTTTGCTTTTCTGTCATGTTTTGTCACAGCATTAGAAACCCTAAGTCACAGAGTGTCCTCTGCAACCCACTCAGAGCAAGGGTATCAAGCTGAGACAGGTGCTGAGTGTCCAGTGAGATCCCGTGGCTGTGGCTAGTTCAAGAAAACTTGAGCCTGCTCTGTTGGGGGAGTTTTTGCCCAACCTGACCTGCATCCCCTTGACTAAGGTGCTAGAGACCTTTCCCCGCAAGACCTTTCTGCTCCTTCTAAGATTAGCCAACCTGTCTGTGCAAACCCCTAATCACCCCATCTCCTCAGAGCTCCCCACTACCTATACCCTTCTCTGGCGCAAGTTTTTCCCAGTAGAGCACTGGACCCAGAACCTGGCCACGTGATTGTGGGGAGCTGTCCTATAGACCTCAGCAGCACCTAGCCCTCTACCCATAGGGGCCAAAGGCATCCAGAGAAGATGCCCTGCTCCCCTCCCAACAGGGGGATCCTTGTGCATATGCTGATGGAGCAAAGGAAATCAAGTTTACTAAGTCTGACCTTAAAACTGGGAGGTTTTCCAGGCCCTCTGGGTGGGCCCAGAGTAGTCTTAAGGGTCCTTAACCATAGGGGCTGAAAGAGACGGCAAGAGTGGTGAACACTGAGCCAGTGCTGCGCCTAATTTACCCCGGGCAGCTGGGAAAGGTGAGCTGCAGCTCCCTGGAGCCTCATGAGGAACACAAATGCCTCCATCCTGATCCTCATGTAGCGAGGCCCGCTGCAGAGACTACAGAACTTAGTGCATCTGTCCTCTTAGCGCACTGAACCTGTGACCACCAGCTGTAGCAGCCCCTGGAAACTATGCCCTGCCCCAGTGTTTGGGCAGCAGTGCTCTCACTGGCACTGCCGACAGTCCCAGTACCAGGCTGCATTCCTTGCTCAATTCATTGGCCTGTCACAAGCGGCCAGTGGGAGGGGGCCGACTCTGCGCCTCAGCCCTGGTGCTCTAAATGATGTGGCTTGTGTTGTTGTGATGGGAGAGATCCTAAGAGAAGCTGACCATCTCAGATTCCATCTGGCTGCAGACTCAGGAGGTGCCCAGGCAAACGCACAAGACCCGGAGGAGCCCTGCCAACCCTCAGCCGTGAGCAGAAGTCAAGTAACATGGAGTCCTTTAAAGCCACTCGGAGCTGAATGCACATAGCACCAGGCACCGCTGTGGTGACCTTTGACCCTGCCCGCCACATGCTGTGCCCCAAGTCAAGGTGGTGGGAGGGTTACAACGTGCCCAGGGCCCTGTCCAGACTCTTTAGCACTATCCCTGCCCTAGTCCATGTGGCACCGTGTCCTGCCTTCCCTTTATCCTTTGTACCCTGAAAAATGTAGAGGCCTCTTGGATGGACAAAAATTACACCAAGGAGCCGGGCGGTGGTGGCACACACCTTTAATCCCAGCACTTGGGAGGCAGAGGCAGGCGGATCTCTGTGAGTTTGAGGCCAGCCTGGTCTACAAGAGCTAGTTCCAGGACAGGAACCAAAAAGCTACAGAGAAACCCTGTCTCGAAAATTAAAAAAAAAAAAATTACACCAAGGGTCAACTGGGAAGGAATGCCCAGTAGGGTGATGAAGGCAGACTTCCTGGAGGAGAAGGGATTTCATGGAGTCTTAGGAAGGGAGGGAAGCAAGGGCAGAGACTTCAAGTCAGCAGGCAGGGACCCAGTGTCGAGCCTGGTAAGTCTGTGTTTCAGCAATGGACTCTGGCCAGGGGCAGCTGGTGCTGCACTAGCAAGTGGGCTGATTCCCTCACGGTTAGCGCACAGTTCTGACTCATGCCTATACTTGAACCCAGGATCTATCACTTCCTCTTGACTCAAAATTCCTTGTGCCCAGCCTTACGCACACAGAAGCCCAGGCCACCGTTACCAGTCTGTGGTGACCCCCTATAAACACTCTGACAGACTGGGGTTACCATACTTTTACTGCCTCTCCTCCAGCTTGATGTCCCCCAAATGTGTCTTGTGTTACCACCCCAGTCCCAACCCCTCTGCAGGGCCTCCAACCTCAAGACAAAGTGAGATACAGGGCTCCTTATGTTACCCCAAACACACTGCCTTCCTAGCCTGTCCAACTCCAAAGTTCACTGTCTGGAATGGTCAGTTACCTGGAAGTCTGCCTATGTCTAGAACCTCACTAGGTCCCTCTCATAGTATCTCCCAGGTCACACATCCCTTTTGATCTTGAAGCTAGATCCTGGAGTCTCAGATGGTTCATGACATGAAAACCCTACTGGAGGAACTGGACATGGCAGGGATCTCACACCTCCTCGGGCAGCTGCTCAATGAGGCTGGCAAAGCAGTCGGTGGTCTGTGTGGCAATCTAACCTCCTCAGAGGCCCACAAATGCTGGTCACCATTATGCCCCACAGAGCAGGGGCTCTTTCGGAAACTTACTCTGTTCGACTCTCCCTTCCATGGCTCTCCTGTAGTTAGTTTCCAACCAGGTTCCCAGGAGGGGCAGCTCTCCTGAGTTCTGAGACCTTTGTCTCAGAGTTTGAGACCTGTTTGCCCTTTGTGGGTGGGTCACTCCCACAGAGGGCACAAGGGATATGGAAGTCATGTGGTGACAAAGAAAGGCACTGGACAACGGACACTGGGCTAAGCAGGGATCCTTCTTAGGAGGGTGGTGACCTTGAGGTCTGGGGCTCGAAATTCTCGCTCTGCCAGAGGGGAGTGACCCGGGCCAAGAAGCTCTGGAAGGTGTTGTGGTACATGGTGGAATGTTGCGGATGAGGGAGGAGTACATCCCTGTCCACACCCTCAGACACCAGCTTGGCCACCATCTGCTCAATATCCTGCGGGTGACCAACCATGGTTTCAGGGACCTGGTTGGGCGAGGTTGGGGCAGACCCAGTCAATGGGGAGGGTACAGTCGGCCGAACCGGGAGGTGCAGGCCCAGTATGTCTCTAGATGGGGCCTTGGCCGTGTTTGCTCTGTCCTGCGCATGTAGCATGGCCAGACGTCTGCGCTCGTCGATGCTGATATTCCAGCGACTACCTGGGCGCCTGCGCGCTGGAGGCTCACACACCTGTGGGGACAGAGCGCACGGTCACCTCCAAACTCAGTTTCTCACGTCTGAGCTAGGTCTCCAGCTCCTATTGTCTTACTCTAAAACCCAGGCTGGCCTGACCCCCTCACTGTGCTTCAGGGAGAGCTGCTAGTGGGGAAGGCAGTACGCTCTTACAGCCCACACTGGCTTACCTGAGCACTTCATGGGCCCCCTCAGGTGTTCATGGGTACTGTTACATCTGTCCCTGGACTATGCAGACATTACAGTGGTTCTGGCAAAGTACTTCAAAGTGGAGGGTGCGGTTGGGCCAGAGGCATTACAAAGCTAGCTAACCTGTTGGTGCCCCCCAAAAAAATCAGCTCTCAAAGATCAACCCTAGGCATCCTTCCTCCCTAAGAGCCCTAGAAAGTGATCTTAAAGGCTGGGTTCGGTTACAAACTGACAAAAATAACAAAGTCTATAAAGAGATTTCGGAGGAAAACTAACACTCTGAACACACATGAACAAAGTTTTAAAAACAGGTATGAGGGTCATCAGTCACACCACACAGGAGATTGGAAGGGGTGACTTGCGAGAAAGCTGGCACAGGCTGTAGGTAAAGCCCTCATATAACAGCCACAGGATGCCCCTGCCGTGGTGGGTGGTCTGTGGAAGTCCCTCCAGACTGCCCACTTAGGGGCACACCTAGCTACCTTCTGGATGGAAAAGGAGCAGGATGAGACACCAAGTGAAGGACCTCCTTACTCAAGAAACCTTGAAAGAATTAATGCATAACAATCCAGTGGTTCCATTTCTAGGGACCGACCCGGAAGAATTTAAAAGCAGGACTTGGAAAGGTGTGTGAACACCCACGTCCACAGCAGCTTCATTCGCTCAGTCAAAACACGGACGCAATTCGAGTGCCATGGAGGGTGGCTCTACCCAGACAATGGAACATTACTGACTCAACAGAAAGGAAGGAAGGGAGGGAGGGCAGGCACTTGGGGCTAGATACCTAGCTCAGCAGTTAAAAGTGTGTTCTGCTCTTGCAGAGGACCTGGGTTCAGTTCTAGCACTCACCTCAGGCATCTCACAACTGCCTGTAATGCCAATTCAAAGAGATCGCACACCGTTCGGCTTCTGTGGCCACCTGCATGCATATGGTGCACATAAATTCACACTTTTTTTTTTTTTCGGTTTATCAAGACAGGGTTTCTCTGTGAAACAGCCCTTGCTGTTCTGAAACTCACTCTGTAGACCAGGCTGGCCTTAAATTCACAGAGATTTACTTACCTCTGCCTTCTGAGTGCTGGGATTAAAGGCATGCACCACCGCCTGGCATAAATTTTTAAAAATTAAAAAATTAAAAATGTTTCAATTAAAAAAGTTGACACTCAGGGCCTGGAGAGATGGCTCAGTGGTTAAGAGCACTGCCTGCTCTTCCAAAGGTCCTGAGTTCAGTTCCCAGCAACTACATGGTGGCTCACAACCATCTGTAATGAGATCTCGTGCCCTCTTCTGGCCTGCAGGCAGATGTGATATTGTATACATAATAAATAAATTAAAAAAATTTGACACATGCTGTTGTGTGGGTGACTGTGAAACAGCAGCCACCAAAGCACACGTTCCATAGCTTCTACGACCCTGCTGGTCTAGGAATAGTCAAATTCAAACTCACTGAGACAGAAAGTAGAGCAGAGCCTCTGGGGACTGGGGGTGGAACAGGAGATACTGACAGTGGAAGAGACCTGGAAATCTGTCTCACAACAAGGGTATATTCAGTAAGAGGCTAGATGGGCTCCATGATAGAACGCACCATTAGCATGTGCATGACCAAAGGTGATGTTCATGTCCTTGGATCCATCTCTAGAATCCGCACCAACACACACACACACACACACACACACACACACACACACACACTAGCTTTGATGACAAAAAATGAGGGAAAAAAGTGAACATTTGACTCCAAGGCATGTACTGGGAGAAGGTACAGAGAAACACAGGAGACAATAAGCCAAGAAGGGTCCCCCTGAAGGTCCTCCCGCAACCCTCAGAAGCCAGGCTTCCAGATGTGTGTCCCACCAAATCCATAGGCCAAGGTTTCCCCTTCAAGGTGCTGGACAAACAGGAAAGAGATCCACAGAGCTCACTCACACCCCATGCATTCAAACAGAGGGAAAGGCAACTTCTGTGAACCAAGCAGTAGGCCCTCTCCAGACCTGAATCTGTGAGAGACTTGGACTTGGTCTGAACCTGCCAACCCCTAGAATTGAGAAGCAGCACTCCATACTGCCTAAGCTACTGTGGTTTGTTACGGAAGCCCCAACTGACGGCAGTCCAAGAAGGATAACATCAACGTTTCTGATTCCGCCTCTTTAGAGACCTCTGTATTTGGAAGTGTACGACAATACATTCCTGTTGTTTAAATCAGAAAAAAAAAGGGGTGGAAGTCCACAGGCCCTCATCCCATCCTGCAGCCTACTTTACTCTGTTTTCCCTAGCCTACTCCATACAAGTTCCTTCTGTTGAAAAGCAGGGGCCTGTAGTCACTGAAAGCCAGATGCCTACCTGATCATGCCACAGCAAAGTCAGCTGCTAACAAAGGCTATCTGAACACCTGCACATGCAAAGTCGCCAGTATCACAAGCCCAAGGTGAAGAGCAGGACAGAGCTACTAGCTAGCTGAGAGAGAAGAGAGATCCCAGGTCTCCACTATCACTGTGGCCTCTGGATGTAGGGTACAGGCAACAAATGAAACAAGAGCAGAAGCACATGGAGGTGGCCATCCAGAGGACAAGAATGATCCTGGGTATGGAGAGTAAGACTTGGTGAGACGGATATTCAGTGGGAAGCTGGTCTCCAGCTGTTTCTGTTCTTAAGCCACTTTGTGGGGGCTGCTCCCCTCTTGTAGCACTATGCCGGCACAGTAGCTCCGGTTCTGCTGGAGATACTGGCTGAGGATGGATGTGCTCCTCACGTGACACATAGACATGAGGCCACGTGCTAGGCTCAACGTATTGATGCGGCAACCTCAGGAAAGGCAGGATCAGAAGACCTTAGAGAGTGAGAGGCACACACTGGACAATCAACCCACGTCTGACCAAGAAATGAGAAAACATGGGTTCAGGGTTCCTTTGGAGAGACTCATCACACAGCTTCGCCGCCACAGTACTAACTGATAGAGGATTGAAAGCACAGAGTGCACACATTCTGTCCCCAGAGACAGAGCAAACAGCCTTAGCAGAATACATTATGCTGACATTTCAGAACACTGGCAAGAAGAAAAAGATCTTCAGTTTTTTGGAAAGATGGCTCAGTGGTTAAGAGCACTTGGGTTCAGTTCCCAGCACCCACACAGCAACTCACACCTGTCTCTTAATTCCAGTTCCCGGACATCCAAAGCTTTCTTCTGGTTTTATGCAGGTAAAAATTCATACATACAAAATATAATATATACAAATAATAAATAATTAATAAATATAAAATATAATACATATAAATTAATACATATAAAATACATAAATCTTAAAAAAACTTTCAAAAATAAAAATGCCACAGGGGTGGTGCTATATAGAGATGCCTAGCAATGCACAGGAAAACCAGAGCAAGTACAGAGAATCAGACATCTACATGATCTATGGTGTTACACAGTAGCACTGGAAGCTGGCAGGGAGAGAGCCGCAAAGGCCTGGAAAAAAATTCTCTCCTAGAATTTTTACCTAACCAAAGTGCTATGCAAGTGTGCAAAGTCATTTCCATACCTTTGAGGTTTTGGTTGCTTTTTGTTTGGTTGGTTTTTTTGTTTTTCAAGACAGGGTTTCTCTGTAGCTTTGGAGCCTGTCCTGGAACTAGCTCTTGTAGACCAGGCTGACCTCAAATCACCTCTGAGTCTTTAAAGCCCAAAAACTTCAATAGGCACCCACAGACAAATGCATACATACGCAAACATGAGCACAAAAATAGGCACACGTAAGCAAAACCAGTGTAATATACCTCTTCAGGAATATGGGGAAAGAGAACAGGAGGGAGGTAGAGCACCAGGCCCAAATTATATGACAAAACAGCAGCAGTCTCTGGAGTGCAGGAGTGGGGGGAGCAGTATTAATTTCATGTGTACATGTGAACACTGTCTGTAACTAACTACAATTCCAGGGGACCCATGCCCTCCTCTGAGCTGGAGGGCACCAGACATACATGAGATGCACAGATATACATGCAGTCAAAACATCCAAACACATAAGATAAAAATAAAAAATGATTAAAAATGACATTAGGAAAGACAAGTAAATGAAGTTAAAAGAAGAAAATAGTGGATAATATTCACAAACAGGTTCTTGGAAAAACCACTTTCTGTATGTGTTCACTGGTCCCAGGCACAGCCACTGACATCACGTCTACCAATGTACTCACGCTCAGTGTTCACTTAGGTGAGTTTTGTTTGTCTGGGAACTGAAAGCCAGACTTCACTCACTTTTTTTTTATATCCATGTTTGATGTGTGGTGCGTGGGATCAAACACAGGACCTTGTGTGTACCAGGCAAACGTTCTACCAGTGGCTACATCTTCAGGCCACTACTCCTTGTAAAAATAAAAGAGGGGGGGATGGAGAGATAGTTCAGTGGTTAAGAGCACTGGCTGCTCTTCCATAGGTCCTGAGTTCAAGTCCCAGCAACCACATGGTGGCTCACAACCATCTGTAATGAGATCTGGTGCCCTCTTCTGGCATGCGGGCATACATGGAGGCAGAATGTTGTATACATAATAAACAAATAAATCTAAAAAACAAAAAAAGAAAAGAGTGTCTGCTTGCCTGTATGTCTGTGCTGGTGGATGCCAGAGAGGATATCAAAACTCTTGGAACTGGAGTTATAAAGGGTACATGTGGTTGCTGGGAACTAAACCCAGGTCTACTGCAACAGCAGCAAGTGCTCTTAACTACCAAGCTGTCTCTCCAGACCCGTACCATGCAACTTTTAAGATAGTTTTCTCATTGCTGTTGTTTTGTGGATAGAATTTTTGGCACGTAGCCTAGGCTGGTCCTGAACTCACAATCCTGCCTCAGCATCCATCCAAGTGCTGGGATTACAGGTAGGGGCCGCTATGTTGGCTCCTCAGTTTCAGTGATGTAAATATTATAAACATTTCTTCCCGGCTGTCATAGAACAATTCCCACCTCTGCTTACACAATACTTTCTAAATCTGCTGGGTTTTTCCTTCATGATGTTTGAATTGAGAAAAGCATTTCTCATTTGGGATTCTAAATACAGATTCTTCCAAAGCAGTTTTCAGTTTAAGTTCAGTGTGTCTGCCATGTGTGCTCAAAGGCAGGGCTGTATTCTACCACTCCAATACCGCTTGTTGAAAAACTTACTTCTTGTACTGAGAACTCAAGAACAATGGCACTGGGTTTTGATCCTACTGCACATACTGGCTTTGTGGGAGCCTAGGCAATTTGGATGCTCACCTTACTAGACCTGGATGGAGGTGGGTGGTCCTTGGACTTCCCACAGGGCAGGGAACCCTGATTGCTCTTTGGGCTGATGAGGGAGGGGGAGTTGATGGGGGAGGGGGAGGGAAATGGGAGGCGGTGGCGGGGAAGAGACAGAAATCTTTAATAAATAAATAAATAAATAAATAAATAAAACTTACTTCTGCTTTGAAATTCCATGGTAAGCAGAAAGTAAGCCCCTAGAGTTACTCAGAGGTCAAGTTCTCAGCATTTGTCCTGGTGGCGGTACGTCTATCCAACTCCTGATCCACATCATCTTTTTGTGTTAGGGTTTAGGCCCAATAAAGCCTTGTTCTTTTCAAGTGCTGCACAGCTTCTTTTCAATGTAAAGCTTTGAAATACCTTTGCCTTTCAAACTTTATGTTAATGGGCATATCAGCAATAGATTGCCTACATTTGCTTTTTTTTTTTTTTTTTTTTTTTTTTGGTTTTTTGAGACAGGGCTTCTCTGTAGCTTTGGAGCCTGTCCTGGAACTAGCTCTTGTAGACCAGGCTGGCCTCGAACTCAAAGATCCACCTGCCTCTGCCTCTGGAGTGCTGAGATTCAAGGCGTGTGTCACCACAGCCCAGCTTTTTTTGTTTTGTTTTTTGAGATGGAGTCTCACTGAGTAGCTTCTACCCTGTTCCCTTTCCACCCTCTCACTGGGGGAAGCCAGTGCTGGGCTGCCTTCCTGAGGCAACTCAGCTACCCTGTGGAGATCTCATCCTGTGGCAAGGGCCTACAGGCTCCCAACAACCCCTCTTTACTGTATACCACTGACTTCTGTGGATGGGAGCCACTGTACAGTTTCCATTTTGTTTTCAGAGGACTGTGGTTGACTGAACCCTTGACCGTACCTCCTGGACCAAGTCAGAGTCCCCTAAGCAAAGCACCTACCCTACAGGCATGGTGGTACACAGTTATAATTCCTGCACTCCTGAGGTAGAGGCAGGAGGATCAAGAGTTCAAGGTTATCATCGGCTTAAATAGCAAGTTCAAAACCAGCCTGGGCTACATGAGACCTTGTTTCAAAAACCCCAAACCAATGACTCTCTCCATAGGAATACCACTTAATTATTTTGGGACAGACTGGCAGGTTTAAAACATTTTATGTGAGTCAGCAGTGGTAACCCATGTCTTTAATCCCTTTAATCACAGGTGGATCTCTGTGAGTTCAAGGCCAGCCTGGTCTACAGAGTGAGTTCCAGGACAGTCAGGGCTATACAACACTGTGAAGCATTGTCTTGAAAAACCAAAACCAACCAAACAAACGAAAATCATCTCTGTCCACACAGTAATAGGATCTGGTTCCACAGGAGATCTTGGTATTATCTGGCAAAACTTTTCAGTATTCCTTGAAAAAGATAATCTGAAGGACCTTGTAATTTCTGTTGCTACAGTGAATGGCAAATTTTCATGATATTTCCTGGTTTAGTGTATTGAAACAAGGAAATTATAATAGTCATATAACCAACCTTCACCTTTTATTTTTTAAGCTGGTGTATGTAGATTTTCCAGACAGACAATATATTGTTGCCAATAGTGATTGTTTTCTTCCTAGTTGGCTATTTAAGCTACCTTTTCCTCTTGACTATGGCAAAGTCTTATGAATCTCCTAGGTTGAAGCTAGCCCAGCTATTATTAATTTTTTCATATGCACTTAGCTGCAAGACAAGAGAAATGTAGGGATTATTATTATTATTTTGCTTTGTTTTGACTGGCCTGAAGTCTCCGTGTAGAGTAGCCTGGCCTTGAACTCAAGAGAGATTCCAGAAGACTCTTTTTCACTAACTAGGACAAACACTGGGTCTTGGCAGGAGGCTGACTTTGCATGTCTGCTGCTCCTTAGCTGGCCACTCAGTTTCAGAGTGGGGTGAGGTAAGGAGGTGTCCTCCTGCCGGCTCCTCCCTAGTGTTCAGAGCACACTGGGCAGATCCTCAGAAAGTACTGCGCTGTGGCTGGATGACTGAGGACCCCTCTGCCAGGAAGGCTTTCTCCAACCCTTGCCTCAGGCCAAAGGTGCCTGAGTTCTATGAGGTATCATGTGTGGCATTGTGGCTGAAGACAACTTGCAGAGAAGCGAGGAACAAAGGACTTTTGTTAGCCAGGTCAGGAGTTCTGTGGGAGGTAACGTGAGACACAGCCAGCGAGGGAAGAACCAGGGAGAGCATAATCTATACCAAGGGAGAGAACCTGACGTGGGACAGGGTTAGGGAAGGCAGCCTGGGCATCCTTCAAGGTCACTAGCAGGGCCTGAGAACTGCGGAAGGAAGAGGCAGAGGAACTTCAAATTGGAGCTGGTCCCAAAAGGAGCCAAGGTGCAGCAGACATTGAAGGGACTCACTGTCCCCAACCTGGATCCTGGGGTCCCATCAGCCACAGGATTCTGTTCTTCCCCATTACCTTACCATACAGAATCCCTGCAGCTGGCCCTCTTCCTGAGCAAATCTCACCCAAGAGACACTTCAGTGGCATCACAATCTAGCATGCCCTGTGGAGACGCCGGCCTCATGAAAGCTGAGGGGTCTACTGGTTAGCACCGTAAAGGTCAGGTCTGAGCACCTGTCACCTTGCAGGGGCCTCAAAGCACTGGGTCCTGGAGGACATGCTGAGGAAGTCAAAAGTAGTCATGCCTGACTTTGGGACCCCTCTTTTTCGTTGTTGCTCGTTTTTTGAAAGTGTTTTGCTATGTAGCTCAACCAGGCCTTCCACTTGTGATCCTCCTCAGTGTGTGAACCATGACACCAAGCTTGGGAGCCTGCGTTCCTTATCTGACTGACCTTTTATCTCAGCACTTAGACAAGTAGACAGACACACTTCAGTGCCTGGCTCCGTGGCTGGCTATACGACCCACGCACTGCTAGCTTGAGCTTGGCCAGTCTTGCCTGATGTGGTCTGGCTTTGAATTCTTTCTCAGTAGAAACTATACCCACAGATAGTATGACACCCTCTGCTCAGGGAGTGTCCTAGGGGTCTGCACAGTTGGGCCTATTTCTCCTACCCACAATTCAGTGCTTGCTATCTGAGGACGGTTGATCAGGGTTTGCATACTGCTTGAGGCTGTCACAAATACAGCTGCCATGTCCATTTCAGTGATAACCAATGTCTATCCAGAGGACGCTTCCTTGCTGTGGGGACCTCATTCTCCCTCCCACTTAGTGATACTCCCTTGTCCAGGGTTGAGGGACACTGGGGAGGGTTGAGATGGCTACGTGTGGCACCCTCTTCCTGACCTCAGAGGAAGCTAAAGGGTTTCAAGTCTACCCCCAAGCCTAGTCAGAGTGGTTGGAGAAAGACAGCCCTGGAAATAGAAACTGCATGTTTCTGTCAGTCCCATTCAGTCCTCCCCTCTTGTCCCAGAGGTCTTCCTGGCCCTTCCCAATCAGTTCATCTAAAAGTCTGGGTTTTTGGAAGAGCCTCCTACTGCTTACCCAGTCTTGGGTCTGCAGGTCCTCTTGAGGATTGCTCTTGGTATCTGGCTGGCTGGAAGTTGCTGAAGGCCCGTGTGGAGGGGACTGGTGCCCTTGCTCTTGAGCAAGCTGCCACTGTAGCGTCTTCCTTTGGGGGCGCTGCTGCCTACCGTCCATCTCTACCAACAGCTGGCTGCAGTGCGCACTTCTAGGGTTCTGGCTGCCACAAGCTCTCCTAGGGCCACCTTGTAGGCAGTGACTACTCTTGCCAAATAGCGGAGCCCCTCACGTGAGTTTCTCAGCTCCTGCGGCCATTGCCTTCCACACCAGCAGTTCCCCCAGGGACATCAGTAGCTCAGTAGAAGTACATGCTTTTCTTTTCTGCTCTCACTGGTAGGGAGTGATTGCCTGCTGTCCTGACAGGCTTTCAATCCTGCCCTCAGCCCGCCTCCCTTCTGTCACTTTGACGACCTGACCATACAGGGCAGAGCCTGAACTCGGTTTCTCTCCCTCTCCGCGGGCCTGAACCGTGGAATTCAGTTGAGGGACAGGAGTAAGATGTGGATAATTGGGTCACCCACTCCCACGCAGAAGCAGAGCTTGTCCAGGGGGTTCCTGAGTGGGCTAAGTGGGCACCAGGAAGGGAAAGGTCCGGAGGATCCCGGACAAATGAGGAAGGCTTAATGGGATCCAGTTGACAACGAATCAGCCGGTGGGGTAGGGCTCAGAAGGATCTGCATTGGGAGTGGAGGGTCACGGGCTGCGAGGTCTCAATTGGGTCCAGATAAATGGGGCAGCCTAGTAGAGCGGCAGTAACCTCAGACTAATGAGAAGCCGACTCTGGAACCTACTTGACTACAAAAACCTAAGGAAGAGGAACGGACTTCCGTCCTACAGACCCCGCCCTCCGTTGTCGTTTCCGCCCCTCGTTGCTTGCGCCCCAGCGCGCTCCAGTCGCGTGGCCCCAATACATTGAAAGAAATCACACCAGTGGGCGGCCTGAGCGCCGTCAGTTTATTAGTGTCGCTTCAGCACCTTGAAATCGCCCACATAGTCGCATGGGACAGATCAGCATCTGCTCCCAAAAAGCTATTTACATGAATCCTTTCCATTAAAAACAACAAACTAGCAACACATACACACACCCTAGAAATCAGTCACAACGCGCTGGACCGTCTTCAAAAGTGGACGGAGTCATCTTCACGCAAGGCCATCAGCCTCTGCTGGCCCCTCTCCAGGACACAGCAGTCTCCGGAGGCGTGGGGGTTTGGAGAGCAAGTGAGGGTCCAGTACCCTGGCTCAGGGAAGAAGTGCTGGGACATTTTTATAAGGAATTCATTTGAGATGGAGGCTAGAGGCAGAAGTGAGGCCTTCAGGGTAAGGCTAGGACAAGCCATTGCACAGGAACCGAGGGCCAGCCCCTCCTTTCCCAGCTCTGGTACCATACAGTGATACCCAGCTGCATACTCAGAGGGTAGTGGCACGGACTAACTTGAAGGTAGAGGCAGCGTCCCCAACTGACAGGAATGAGACCTTCCCATCCACACAGGCTGTGTGGCCAGGCCTAAGAGAAACCAGTGCTGACAGACAGTGACCTAAGACTGGGAGGCTCTAGGGCCTCAGGGCTAAGGCCTGTGGGATACACACACACACACACACACACACACACACACACACACACACACACACACTGCTGTTCTCACCTGACACCTGTCAGGGGGCTTTGGTGTTTAGTCATCCTTCAATGGGACAAAAGTACTTCTCTATGAATCCTCATTACAGCTCCACGAGGTAGGCAAGGAAAATGGACATGTCTCTTTAACCAAAGGGGAAACTGAGGCTCAGGGGATTACTGCTATAGTGGTGGGTGCAGGGTACTCAGGCTTTACTGACTTGGACTTGTATAAGTCAGACCTCTGGAACCAATCAAGAATGCATGGAAAGAGAAAGAGTTCTCCAGAAAGGGGCTGCCCTCAGGCATGAGCTTGAAACCCTGGCCCCAAGGCCTCTAGGCCTAATCTTTTGTAGCAAGGCTGACTTTGGGAGGAAACTCCAGGGGTCGGTCAGCCAGGCTCTGCTCTTAAGCTTTAAGGATCACAGTGGCCTGACTCTGTAACAGATCTTTCCAGAGCACTCTTCACCAGGGGTTCCACTGTCACTGAGCCCTGAACCCAGCAGCAGTCCAGGGCCTTGCCCTGGACAAATAGACTCTTTTCAGCAAGGTGAGGCGGGGAAGTAAGTGAATAGAAAATGAGCCACTTTTCATCCCAGGAAAGGTGAGGAGTCCTCAAACTCAGCCTGCCCTATTCTTGGTAATTTTCTGAGCATTCTCTTAGAAGTTCTCAAGGCTAAGACACCACCAGGGTGCCTGGGAGTGCCAGTTTCCAAGGGGGCAGGCACTCTTCCATCTGACACTTCAGGGAGAAAATTAGGACTGAGGCTGTGAACCCCTTCATGAATCTAGTGGGGCATGTACAGTCAGGATGATCCTTGCTGCAGGCCAGCACATCCCTCTTCTGCTGAGCAGGAAAGTGGTGGAGGCTAGAGATGCCACCAAGAATGGATCCATGTGGCTTTGAGGAGCATGGATGGGATAGATCCTTGGATAGCCTTTGTAGTTAGACCAGCCTGCTGGAGCCTTCACTGGCCTCACTGTGAGCGTGCGCATGTGTACACACGCACACACACACATACATACACACACACACACACACATACACACACACACCTCCAGTTGCCTGTTTCCAGTTCACAACCTTGATTTTCAACTCAGACCCCACATAACCAGTCCTAGATGTTCCTGTCCAGCAGGCAGAATAGAGGTGTAAGGGCATGGTAGCCAGGTCTCAGACCCCAGCAGTGTCTCTTATTCCAAGATAGACAATGGGAAATTTGCAAGGACCACCTATCTGAGCAGCAGAATCTGCAGAAGCCTAGCAGTGCCTCTGGAACTGCAGCCAGAGGGGCAGGGGTAGGTATGTAGCTCCTGCTGGCTCTCCACCCAAGGGGACTTCACAAAAAAAACATCTGCTTGGCAGCTACATCGTCAAATGTATGAGAGCATCAGAAAGATCCGCTACTATAAAACCTCCGCCATAAGGCTGGAGTTTTTTGGGAACCACGCATGGAGTGCCAGGGGCCACCATCCCATGCTAGGAGACCAAATATGCTCTTTACCCTCAGCTTTTGGCCAGACTGTACCCTGCTCCCTGCTCCCCAGGAAAGCAGAATCCTGACTTCAGGAACAGACAGGACACAAAGGCAAGAACACTTCTCGCGTGTAGTTCTGGGGTTTCACAAGACCAGAGCTCACCTCTCTTCTTACCAGCCTTTCCACTGCCCACATATTCTGGTTAATAAGCAGAGCAAAGTTACTCGGTGGCCCACAGGGAGCTTGTTAGCTTCCCCTTAATTTCTGGGCTATGAGCACATTCATACTTAAGACTGTTTCTTTGTGTTTATAAGAGTCTGTCTCTGTAGTAACCACATGTTAACAGAAACACAGCTGTCCCTCCATCAATGGCTGACACAGAGCAGAGCACGGGCCCCTGTATCATCCTGTGCCAGCCCTTCCGTGGGTGGGGCTAGAAGGTGGCCTTGGAGTGTCCAAAGATGCAGATGGGGAAGTGCTTCACGTGGGAAGACCACTGGGCAGCCAGCTGGAAGAACTTGACATCGCTGCATTCCACGCCATCGATGAGGACTGTGGGAGAGGACACCTCACCATCTGCCTGCCTGGCGAGGCAACCACCTGGGATGGTGGGCTGCTACCAGGGGTAGGGTAATCCATGCTTACCAGGCCCTTTCTACCACCTGCCCTCCCAGGACTCACTACCATAGTGGGTTCACTTCCCAGGGGACTAGTGGCAAGGACAGTCTAAGCCATATTTCAGCCAGGCATGACTCATGTATGCCACCTCCACCTCATAGGGTCTTACTTAAAACAGCTGCATTTCCAGAGAGCCTGAGGAAGACTCAAGGACCCAAAACTCACTGAGGCCCAAGAGTCCTCACTCTGAGTGCACTGCTTACAGAATAGCCTCTGGAAGACACTGATACACAAACTAATCTTTAAAAATGAAGAAAGGAAGGGCCGGGAATATGGTTCAATGGTAGAATTATCTGCCTAGTATGTATGAGACCCTAGGTTCACTCTCTAACAACCCTCTACCATATCTTCATCAATAAAAACACAGAAAAGGTTGAAACATTATTTGAACTTGAAAGGCTGTTAGATGTATGCAAGTTCCTTATCAAAATGTGTTCCAAGTGTGAATCTGTAAGCATGCCTTTCATAGAACAACCAGTTCCTGTGCTGGGTTTGAGAAGCCACCCATCTGTTTTGCTCTGCATTCACATTATACAGGAAGAACCTAAAAGGATCTGGGTTCCCCCAGCACCCTGTGGAGTCCCCGGGCCCCATGCTCACCCCGAAGCATGTTCTGTTGGTGCTTAGCTGTGCAGATCAGCCGACTGATGCCTTCGATGCACTGGCTTTTAGATTCCACATCTTTGTCCTTAGTTTTCTTGGGCAAAAACATCACTGGGAAGAAAAGAGCCCTGCTGTTGATTCACTGCTCCTTCAGGGCCAAGCTGGTCAGAGCCCCAGCAGCAGGCAGGATGGGAGAACAGTAGCCATGGGGACTTGGCTGGCCCCTGCTCACCTGGGATTCAGTTTCTTGCTGTGGCCACACATAGCACCCTCCTGTCTGATACTCCACCTGAAGCCAGAAGCTACCCAGAACCTCAGTATCCTCACAGCTCAGGATAGCCACAACTCAGGGGCCACAGCTGTCAAAGCATGTCTGACTGCCAACCCCTTCTGAAGTGAGGTGTGTGCTCATGACAATGAATTTACCAGGAACTTGCTAAGGGTTGGGAATGATATCCCTCCCCATCACCAATAGTTACCACAGAGACCCCTCTCCCATTGTCCCTGCTCAGTACATTCCCACCTCACCCTTCTTGTTCTTCTCCTTGGTGACCACGGTCATGGACATGGTGGGTGTGGCTGCAGCCTCGCCACTGCTGGGCAACCTGCTGACCTGGAGGGACCGGAAAGTGCACTTGAGCGTATTTTTGGTGGTGGGGAGGTCCTTCTTCTCGGCATCTCTCTTCCTGTCCGCAGGCTGTGCTGCTGTCCAGTAGTCCACCTGCAGCCCCATGAGCTCAGCGCCGGTGACCTGGCTGTGGAAGGCAGAGGGAAGTACTCACATTCATGATGTCACTGTGCCACTGTAGGCAAGGAGGTGTGGCTAGCGTCTTACCTACTAACTTGCTGGCCAGTGCCGGGGAACTATGAGAAGCTCTGCAGAGCTGACTGCCCACTTGTCTTTCGGGATAATAGTGTTAGTGCCTGTGGCCCTGGCAAAATTGCCACTCTCCTGGGGCCTAGATAATAGGTTCATCAGAGGTGGAGTGGCTGGTGACATCAGGTGGCTAGACGAGCTCTGACAAAGAGCCAGCAACCTCAGTGAACCTTAAGGCCATGCTCACCATGGACCCCAAAACTCCCCAGTTTCAACTTGGTTGTCTTGAGTTCTGCTCAAGACTCAGATGGCTTGGTAGGACTCAGTTTACGTGTATGGGGCCTAAGGAGCTGTCACCTGCATTTCCTCCCTCAGTTCCTCTTTTAACAGCCCACCCTGTGCTAAGGGACTTTCAGGCTCAGTGACTCCCATCCTTAGGAGTACTCACTGAAAACATCAATTACCTCCTACACTGCTCCTACAGTTGCTCTACAGCAAACTGGACCCAGCCCAAAGGATCCCTCACAGGATCTCCACCACTCCTTCACCAAGTCCGCCCATATTGCTGACAAGACGGTAACACGAAGGGTGGATGTCACGATAGAGAGCCATGTTGTTTACCTTGGGGAAGACAGGCCTCCGCTTACTGAAGGGGAGGAGGGTGGAGTAGGTGAGGCCTCCTTGGCCGCAGGAGATGTAGACACAGACGGCGGGGTAGAAGAGAGCACACTGGAGCCTGAGGGGGCTGCATCATCCGAGTCTCCTTTAGGGAGGAGTCACAGGTTAGTGGTCAGACCGCCTTCTGGTCTGGCCCCACAGCTAGCTGGAGCCTGGACTAAGGCTAGAGAGGCAGCTCTAGGGACAAGTAGAGTAGGCAGAGTAGCTTGTGTGGAGGGCAGAGTATTATCTCTATTGGCTAGAAGAACTGCCTCGTTTGTCTTGTTCTGAGGCTTTGTGATAGGAAAATCAGTAGAAACGTGCTGGTCCGTAAGTCCAGAGGGACCTCCAATTCAGAGGGCTATCTGAGCAGTTCTCAGAGAGGAATGAAATTACCTGATGTGGCTGAAGATGGTTCCACAATTCCAACCTTCACAACCTGGGAAGTAATAGAAGCTGGCTAGAGGCAAGTGGGGAGGTTGAGTAGTCTCACAGCTCTGCTTAGGCACCGGCTTGGGGCTTATCTAAGAGGTTTCTAAGTCCCTGCTGCTGCCCAGAACAGGAAACAGGTCCCAGCATCCTCCCATCTATGGAGCATGGCCCAGCTCTGGGCAGTGGCAAATCCCATGTGCAAGTGACTGGCCAGTCCAGACATCCATCAGAGTCAGGTGCTGGCAGGAGAAATACAGATGCAGAAGCAGGAGCTGCTTCACAGTACTATATGGGGCAAGGGGAGAGTGCTTCAGGCTTGAACGTCCCAGTACAGTGGCCAGTAGCCATATGATGCTGTATCAATTCAAAGTGAATTACAATATCAAATTCAGTCTTGGCCATGTCAGGTACCCATAGGCACTTCTGTCACTACAGAAAGTGCCCTGAATAGAATGCTATGGAGATAGCTGTGGCTGCCTGGAATCAAGTTTTATGTTGCTCTAGAGGTCTCATAGCAGGACAACCTCGCTAGAGATGAAAAAAGGCTGTGAAAACAGAACTGGGGTGAGTCTAAAACTCCACATTCGGTTATGTCTAGCCTATGCCAGGAGGCTCATCCTTATCTTGCAGACAGGGCTGAGCCTCCTTGTCTGTGTTGAGCTGACAGCCTGATACATCTCTCCCAGAAAAGGGACATATACTCCCATGTATCCACTATGGGAACCAAAAGCTCCCAGACCAAAAAATGCAGGAAGGAAGCAGGGGGTTATATGGCAAGGAATTAAGCAGCCCTCGCTGGCTCACACGGTAAGGAAGGTTCTGTGTATAAGGTAATATAAAAGCACTCTATTTTGACAGGAGCCTTGGCAGGCTCAGGTTTCCAGTGAATGAAGCTGGTGATACTCACCCCAACAAAGGGAATGAACCTCTGAGAGGATTCTTCATCAGGGCTGGGAGCAAAAACAGACAGTTAGACTCCCTGCTGGAATACCCCAATCTCAGCTGTCCTTCAGCCCAGGGGCCCAGCCGACTCATCCCTAATCCCTACCCACCATGGCCCTCAGCCTTATCGCCTGCCCACAGGTACTCTTTGTCACTACAGAAAGGCCCCTGGATGACTTGGCTAATACTTGGATTTTTTTTCCCCATATGTCAATATAATGGTAAGCAGAGGATTCCTGCACTCCTGCAAGGAAGTTGGTGTGTAGTCCTGCGACCGGGGAGAGAACACTAGAGCTAGTGACCCTTGAGGGAAATTGTTTTTATAACAGGTGCCTGCTCAGTCCTGTCCATCTGCCTGTTTCCAGGCCTACCAAGCCAATTCCCTGCCATGTGCATGCCCCATGGAATCCAGAACTGGGCCTTCTCCAGTGACTGGGTTGCCCTTCCCAAAACCAGTACATGGAGGTTTCCTCCTGAGTGTAGGTGAAGTCAGTCATCTCTAGAGGCTACAGCTTTGGCTAAGGTGCTGAAGTGGAGAACTAGGTTCTAATAGTAACATCTAAGTGTAGCCTGAGGCTTGAGCAGGGTTGGGACAAGTCTGAGTAGCTGACTGAATGAGATACTGTCTGCATAGCATTTGGCAAAACAGTAGCTTGTCCTGGAAGTCATGGCCCATGCGCCATTAAGATACCAAGGGTTTGAGGTCAGGAGCTGACATGAAGAATGCTGTCCTCCTTCCATGCACTGCCCACTAGGGCTAGCCATGCGGTGAATCTCTGAGGAGGCTCAGCTTAGAGCATATTGTTCCACTAGCAGTCAGACTGTGTCCTGCATTTTTTGGAAGGCCTGACAGCAGGGCTAGTCCTATTTCTTTCATGCCCTTCCTGCCTGCCTTCCCACAGTGATTCCCTGATCTGAAGAGCATTTTAGCAACTGAAGTTACTTCTGCATGGTTCTCTCAACTCTACCTTGATTCCTCACACTGGTATTGGATGTCAGTGCATCTGTTTCAGAGATGTCCATGTCATCAGGCCAAGTATGGAGAAGCCTAAGATGGACGGGCTTCTCCCTATGTCTAGGCTTCAGGGTGTCCCTCAGGTGTTGCACTGCAGCAGGTACTGCCTACTGCCTAACACAGTTTTCGTGACATATCTTCGTGGGAAACAGAACTTGGGTGGTGTCTAGGACAGTGATCTGTAAGTTTTCCCCTTAAATAAATAACCTTTTTATTATTCATAATTCTGAACTGGTGCGGGATTGTTTTGTGACTTATATCATCAAAGGAGGGCAGTTTTGACAAGAGAAATCTCGTCTCCCTTGTTTATTCCAAATGACTTGACTCCTAACCCCAATCTGTCATACTCTTTTCTGTCCACTTCATATAACACCTCAGTCCCCAAAAGCTCTAAAAATCAGACAAGCATAATAGTTCCCAGTGTGGAGGTCTGTGACCCACTGGGCTACCCATGCTCTGTGGGCCCTCTAGGACCATGGCAGAGCAGCCTCTTATCTGTGGTCTACTCTAAGATATTTGGGAACAGAGCAGGGCTGACAAGCCCATGTGTGACAAGACACAAGAGACACTGCAACATGGAGAAGCTACCAGAACTCAAAGCCAAGCTGTATCTGGGACCATGCAGACAGAACCAGCATAGGTACAGCAATTATGACACCAGTGCCATATTGCATCCTGGGCCATGCAGACAGCACCAGCATGGGTGCAACAGCAGTGACACTAGCTGGCTAACCAAGAGCCTGGATGCAGAGGCAGCCAGGCCTGCAGCACAGGTACACAGGAAGTCAAGTGGTTGGCAGTCTAAGAACCATGCCCTTGATCTGTTCCCAAGACCACCATGATGCCAAAGACAGAGTGTAGGCCCAAGGACCATTCCATCCATATGCACCAGAACAGGGGCCTTGGAGCATGTGTCGTCCCAGTATGACCTGAGGACTCAGCTGCCATCAGAGGACAGGCTCCATCCCAGCTTCGGGTAAGAGGCAGGCAAGAGCAGGTATACCCTGCCAGAGTTCAACATGGAAGGCCAAGCAACATGGGTCTCCATTGGTTCCTGGCTGGTACCCGTGCCTACCTATTGCCGGTGTCACTACTGTATTATAGGCAGAGGAAAGTCTGGGGGATAGAGAGCGTCTCCTCAAGCCTGAATTTTTACTAGATATAAGTACAGCACAGGAGAGCATGCTGCAGGCTCCTCCTGTCACAGCCGGTGGCACAGGCCAAGCCTCAAGGCAGGAGAGAGGATGAAGGCTGGTCTTTCTCTAACTTGGGGGGTGAGCTTGTTTAGCAGGGCAAACTGGTATTCAAGGACCCTCCTCTGTGTTCTGCTGGTTTGGATAAAGGGTAGCACTACCAGCAATGAGGACCCTGGACCCATGACTCTGTCCTGGGCACTTTTCCCAGGACAAATACCTTGAGGCAAGTGTGGCAGACAGAGGGTAGGACCCTCTCAGCAACGAAAAGGGTAGCTCTGAGGGTACCTGAGAGTAGTCAAGTTTTCAGAGGGTGAAACCTTCTTAGGGAAGAAAAGCACTTTGTCCCTACTTAGGGTCCTCAAAAGCCTGGCTACCTCCCCAAAGAAACTAGAAAAACCCTTTCTGTGGCTCTGGCATCCCTGGGAGCTGATTTTATAGTACAGAAAGTGGCTAAGGCACCTGCCATACTATGCCAGCTCCTTGACCTCCTACCTCCACACTCTTAAATTTAGGACCAACACTGGTAGTGCCACACCCTTCTGAGGCTGTGTGTGGTCAGATTACTGCTACTGTTAAGTGTGAGGAGCAAAGCCAGCATGGGGAGTCCAGATGCCAGCACCACGCTGGGTTTAACAAGAGGCTTCAGAAGCACAAACTCCTTGAGGTTGGTTCTGTGGGCTAAGGAACCCATGTGCAGTTCTCCCAAGAAAGGGGTTCATTCCTGCTCCTCAAGGAACAGGAATGCTGCCTGGGCATCAGAGGAGAGGCACTTGGGCAATGATCCTGCTAAACAAGCCCTAAAGACCAGCCTAGAGACAGATAAGGGTATAGGCCAGAGAGATGTACCTCAGGGTAAAGTCAAAGTGAAAGTGTTTTTTCCTTTTTGGGAAGGCCACCAAGAGAGAAAACACACATTAGGACTCCCTGGAGCAGCAACATGTCCTCCACACACTGAGGCAGGAGCAGAATGGCTCCTGGTGGTCTGGCTAAATCTTCACCCACCTGGATCTGGAGCAGCAGCTGAGAGGGGATGAGGGTTCCTAAAGGATCTGGCCCTGCTACCAGGCAGTCTTTGAGTTTGGGGAACGTATTGTGTGGCACATGCAATTTAAAGAGATTTGTTGTCATTGGCTGCAGGGTCTACCCCTCCTGAGCAGGGTGCTGGGCTCACGTTAGACACCAAAGAGGTTTCCTTAGGTTCTGTGCACTTAACTCTTCTAGAAGGGTAGTGTGGTAGTTTGAAAGAAAATGGCAGCCAAACAAAGTGTCATTATTAGGAGGTGTGGCCTTATTGGAAGAAATGTGTCAATGTAGAGGCGGGCTTATAGGTCTCATACATGCTCAAGCCATACCCAATGCCTCAGACCACTTCCTATGGCCTCTGGATCAGCTACTCCTCCAGCCATATGTCGGCCTGTACATGCCATGTCCTACCATGATGATAATGGACTGAACCTCTGAACTATAAGCCACCCAATTAAATGTTTTCTTTTATAAGAGTTGCCATGGTCACAGTGTCTTTTCACAGAAAAAAACAAAACAAAACAAAAAACAAAAAAAAAAAACCCAACTAAGACAAGCAGATTGTTCAGAGGTCTGAGCCAAGAAAAGTGTGTTCAGTTCCCTAAGATCCAGTGTTGAGGAGGCCCTGCCCAGGGCCCCTCAGCTTCTTGGGAGGAAGGATCTAGATCCAGGCCAAGACCCACTCTGTCCAGTCCTTCACACACAACTCCTGAGCGCTGCCCAAAGTAGGGTCAGGGGACCTGTGGGGAAGGAGCCATGTGGCCAGAACATGACCAGATATGAGGACTATAAGAACAAGTGCCTTCTAGTACATCATTGAGGATATTAACAAGCACAAAAGTAAAGGCTCTGAAAATCCAACCCGGCATTCTGACCAGATACGAATTTACTGTAGGTTCATGCTAAGCAAGCACACTCAGGTTTTGTTTTATCCTGGCCCCTTGAGTCTATCCCATAGCCTATAAGAAGCAGAGGGGCCATATACCTGCTCCAAGGCCCCAGCCCTGGTCCACCATGTTACCTCTTCTGCTTGTAGGTCAGCATAGCCTCGGCGATGGGGAGCTGGTGAGCACAGTTGGCTCCCGAGATGTACTGGGTGATGCGTGACACGATGTCTGGTGTGTCCTGCACTGCACAAGGCAGAGGCGGCAAAGAGTCAGCATGGTGAATAGGTGGGATCTGCTGGGGTCTGGGCTGTGTCCCAGGCACTATACTCTGGCTCTTCTCTATCTCTGCTTTCTGCTAGCTGCCTCTGGCTAAGTGCCTACCCACAATGGTCCCAGGTAGGGTCATCATGGTTTCTTCTCAAATCCTGAGGCTGGTTCTGGAGTTCCTGACTGCCCCTTCCCAATGTCATGCCACATGGCAAGGCTAAAAACTCAGGCTGGGTGAGGGAAGCCCTATAACACCCCCTCCTGTCCCACAGCGGACCCTGAGAAATAGGGTCTCTATGATGGGAAGTCCCCAGGAGAAGGGGCCTTTTCTCCAAAGCAAGGACCATAGATGCATGGGGCAGCCCCCCCCCCCCCAACACAGTGCCCAGGCCTCACCACTGCTCTGGGCTTCCAGCTTGTTGAATAGGTCTCTCCAGGCCAGATCCTGGAAGAAGTTGTTGTAGCGGTAGTCCACAGAGCCCAGGTACCTGGCCACAGGATGGGAGCCTGGGAGCCCCAGAAAATCCATCACCACATGGAGTTGCTCAACTCCAGACAACCCAGCTGTCCTGAGCCCTCTGCTGTAAGCCTGCCAAGGGAGTTATGACAAAGTCCCCACTGACTGTTGCTCTACCAGGGAAGGCAAATGAGATGGACAAAAGTCAGCCAAGACAAGCGCCCCAGGTGAGGTGCTGCTTTTAAATTTCACTACTGGTGAACAAATGTGTTTTATAGAACTCCAAATGGCTACTGGAATTCAAGTGCGCAGGGTCATAACCTATAAAGACTGTTTTGTATTTCTGGTGACAGAAACCAAAGCTGATGGAGTGGTCTGTGGTAGACCACTAGTTTGCCAGGTAATACATTCTACACGACTAGGACATTTGTCAAAGAGAAGAACAGAAAGTGACAGTAGACTTAGGTCTTACTATATAACCTGGTTCCAGGCTGATCTGAACTTGTGATTCTTAGCTTCCAAGTACTAGGGTAGCAGGCATAATACTATGTCTGGCACACACGACTTTTCAATATGGTGAGAATAACTGTGAATTTTTATTTTATTTTTTTAAACTTTTAATGATTTATTTAACTTTATTTTATGTGCATTGGTGTGAAGGTGTCACATCTTGTGGAATTGCATTTTCAGGCAGTTGTGAGCTGCCATGTGGGTGCTGGGAATTGAACCCGGGTCCTCTGGAAGAACAATCAGTGCTCTTAACCGCTGAGCCATATCTCCAGCCCCAACTGTGAATTTTTAAACAATAGAAGTATGTCATATTGGTACCTCTACCCTAACCAGGCTGTGTCCCTGTCTCTGAGGTCTTTCAGGTTTAGTCACAGGCGGCCAGTAGTCCAAGGTCCCTCACCCAGTGGGATGATGAGGAAGCGCATGTAGCCAAGCCAGTCAGGCGTCTTATGAGACAGCTGCTCCACGAAGAGCCGCAGGATGGCACTGAGGTAATGCTGTGCTCCCGCCACAGCGATCTTCACAGGGGTTGGTGGCTGAGAATTGCAGTTGCAGCTGCGATCCCAAGAGGGTGGGGGGGAGAGGGACAGATGCCTCACTGTCTCTGGCCCAGGATCACCCTGCTGAGCTCTAGGGAGCTATTGCCCCTAAAGCGCAGGAACTATCAAACCCAGGATGCCCCACCAAAAGTGAGATGGGAAGCTGAATGTCTGCCTGGATCTGCCTGGGCCAGGAAACTGCTCCAGACCTCTGCTGGGGTCACTGTAAAGGGAAGCCGTCTACCAGAGAAGGCCAAATGAGCTTCAAGATACCCACTGGGGATCAGAATAGAGCTGTGGGGAGTTTATGGGCAGCACATCTGGAACCATCATGATTCTCAGGATCAAATATCCCGTCTCTAAGAAGCAGGCAGGGTTGGGTAAGGAAGGATGGCAGACTCACTATCGCTGTATCCGAGAGACAATGGTGCTGAAGGCAGCTTGCACGTCAGCAGCAGAGCATGTGCATACCACAGGGAGGGTATGCTTCTGTAGGACATCCGAGAGGAACTAAAAGGGACAGGCTGACAATGACCTTGGCGTAGCACCTGGTAGTCCCTATCCATCCCTCACCACAGGTCCCAAAGGGTCCATAGGAACAGCTGATCATCAGCATCCCTACTCCCCCAGCATGACTGCTGTTCTTCAAGGTCATATGAAGCCTTGAATTCACAGCAGACAGGGCACACAGCTATACCCCTTACCTGTCCCTGCCAGTCAGAGGTGTTGACAAGAATAATATTCTCAGGGAGTTGGTCATCAGAGATGAGGATGTGGTTCAGTTGGTCATACACAGTTTTCCTGGGAATCTAGAGACAGTGAGGTGTCTACACAAGGAGATGCAGTACCCAGGTCTTTCAACTTCCAGCCCTGGGCCTCAATATTCCATACCCTAAAGCAGGCATAAACACTGGAAGCAAGTAAGGAAATACCTAACATGGGGGTTCCTTAGTCTGGAGTGGCAACACTTTGGGTGCTCTGATTCAGAGAGATCAATAAGATGGCTAAAACCAGCCCCAGGGTAAACAGGCTTCCTGACAAGAAGACTTATGACTGTCTTCCTATCTGCATGGAATTTCATAGTAAACATAGTAAACCTTCCAGGTTTGCCAGTTCTCAGGGCCCCTAGGCTTCTCTATTCTGCCTGTCACTTGGAGCATCCTTCCTCAGCTCCCACCCTAACCTGCAGCTGGCTCCTCGTGTCTGGACAGCGCTCATTGTCCAGGCTGTTGGCCCGCTCATTCTGTGGTCGAGCTGGCTGCCGTTCCTTCAGGGATGTGCTCCGGCCCCGGCGGCCGGCTGGCTTTGCCTCTGACCTGCTAGAGACCAGGAAAGGCATAAAACATCTGGAGTGGTAGGCCAAATGCTCACTGCAGGCTGCAAACTGAAGTGTCCCACAACAGCTGTCACACCTCCACCCAGCAGACCCTGATACAATACTGCAATTGTCCCCGCACCATGAACCCTCAGCAGTTTCATTTCCAAGAACAGCAGAATGGAAGTAGGTGGCACCCTCTGGGCATACTGGCCTTAGGGTTGCAAGCCAGCAGATGGCCAGAGACAGACTGGGTAGGGGACCCACATGTAGTTTCTGGAGTTGGCCCAAATAGCTGGCTTCCCATAGCCCCTCCCAAAGGGGTACACAGTCCCTCAGCACAGGCCCACACCTGGTGGAAGGGATGACAAGTGACTCAGTCTTGGTGATTCTCCCACTGGGTGGCAGCTTCTCAGTGAAGACATCCAGGAGAGAGGTCTCAGTCTCTGGACTGTCATCAGGTTGCCCTGATGGCTCTCGGGGGGCTGGTGAACTCTGATGGATTGAGAAGGAGCCATATGCACTCACCCTGCCAGAAACATTTACCATGCTTCTCCTATGTATGTGCTCTTGGTTTAAGGTAAGGCTCTGGGCTTCCTCTGACCTAAGGTCTTGCTGAGGCACAGGCACATGGAGGCAAGAGGAGAGGTACTTCTCTCTCACAAGTAGCTCCTGGTCCAACTATTACTAAGAGATAAGGACCAAACTTGCTGGAAACACCAACTACCCTGCACCATATCTGAGAGACTCCATGCGGGCCTGGGTCTGACAGCAAGGCTAGGAACACAGTCATCCACCTGAGCTGCACAGTCATCCCTGAGGGTGGTGCACACACTTTCAGAGTATATGAACACAAGCCCTCCATGTGGTGTTCATGTTCGGCTGCACATGGTGGATGCTCCCCATGACTGCTTACAAGGGCTACCGTGTCAGAGATGCTGTCACTTGGCTGCTGGCCTCCCAGAGATCTCATCTTCTCAGGTACATCAGCCTGCAGATGACGAGATAGGAATTGGGCTGTGCTGTAGAACAGGATGTCTACTTCTGGATAGGAGGAAGCCTAGGGAGACTAGCTGGGAATTTCATAGACTTCTAGCTCAGGATTACATTAGAAGAGTCATCTTTTACTGGGTGGAACTCTGAGCCCAGGACACATCACAGCCCAGCTAGGTACATGCTGGCTAGGCATTCAGGACACAGGGGCAGGAAGGAAGAGAAGACCCAGCCTGGTCTAAGGGTCTCACCACTGCACAGCATGGCCCTACTCACCGGGCTTGGAGGCTCTCTGTGGCTCCGGGCACTGTGGATGCTCCCTATCTCTGTCTGTGAGCTGGAGTGTGACAGGCCTTCAAAATATGGCCTGGATAAAGAAGGAATAGATGTTATTTCCCATGATCCCCAATACACTGAAAATGAGGTTCAACCCACCGCACACAGAAGGGAAGGCGGCACAGAACTCAACAGCAGAGCAGAGCTACACCCAGAGGCTCCAGTGTGGAAGAGTTGTGTGACTACACACCCACTGCTGAGGGAACCCTGCACACATGGGGGGATGCTGGAGCGATTCAACTCCAGCTGGACACAGCTCCTGCACTGGCTATGAAGTCAGCTGCAGAAAGTGTGTATTCCAGGGCTGGCAAGATGGCTCCTTGGGTAAAGGCACCTGCTGCCAAGCCTAAACACCTGAGTTTGATCCTTGGGACACACATAGTGTGAACCCTTGCAATTTGTCCTCTGACCTCCACACTCACGCTGTGGTACACATGTCCCCTCCCATAATAATATTTAAATGTAAAAAAAAAACAAACCCGTCTGCTTGTGTTCACCCAAGTTGGGGCTGCCAAAAACACAAGGAGATTGGGTATCAGCACAGAAAATCTCATGTTCTTAACGAGGGTTGGGCCTGATGAGAACCTTGATATCTGTAGTCAGATAACAGAAACCAGAAGAACATTCTCAACAGCATAAAGGTACCATGGGCAAGTCCAGAACATCTAAAGCCATTCTCGACACAGTCAGTCTACTCCAGACCAACACAGATGACTTGACACCCCCTAGGCCACAATAGACCAAGCCTGACAATGCCATTTCAAACCAATCCAACATAGCCATTAGACCACTAGTGGCTACTCTAGACCAGCCGGGCCAACTCTTGCCAATCCAGACCAACCTGGACCAATGTATCTGACTTCAGCAGATCAAGTGTGAGTGAAGAAATAGGAGATAAGGAAAACAGAAAACCAAGAGATGTTAAAAAAAAAAAAAGTCATGCAAAAATACCAGACAGTATACCTGCACAGTATATGGGTGATGAAGCTATACAGAAATCTAGAGACGTAGGGTGTCACTTATGCATGGCCACCCGGGACCATGGCCCCAAAGTGATCACATATCACCCCAAAACTACAGGTATCCATCATAGTTAATGTCATGGGGCTCAAGAAGATCCAGACTCTCTGGGAAGACCCAGTGTAATCCCATAAGTCACTACAGACACGAGGCAGAAGGACCAGTGTTGAGCACAAGGGGGACTGAAGTAGAAGAAAACAAGGAACACTGGCTTGCTTGACCTAAAGGGCATTCCCCATGACAGCAGTTCAACATGCTGACCTGAGCCCGGTAAGTCATAGGCAGAAAAAGAAGCCAAGGCCTGAGGATGCCACCTCAGAATGGGCAGCATAATAGATCTTGGAGTTTATTTATTTAATGAACAATGTCTCACTCTATAGCCCAAACTGCCCTTAAACTCAGTAATCCTCCTGCTTCAGTCTCCCAAATGCCAAGACTACAGACATAAGCAATCAAGCCCAGCAGTAACGAATGATTACTCATTACTGAGAATTATGGTTAATTAATTACAAGACACAAGAAACCCAATTTTTTTGTGTTTCTCTCTACTGTCCAGATTAGAAACTTAAAAAGTGAAGGGTCTTTAACTTTTTAGAACTTCCTGAGTCTCCCTGTTCTCAGTCGCTACACCAAGACCTAAATCTATAAACTACCTGTCCTGAGGGCTAAGCCTCTCCAGGTCCCACCAGTCCACAGCACATGTGTGTGTACTGGCCTGCTTTCCTTCTTTTCTTTCTGCCCTAGGTCAGGCTGGTCAGCTATCCTCCCAGCAAAACCAAAAAGGGGCACTGTTGCCTATACAGTAGTCTTCTGCAGTTTCCAGTATACCTCAAACTTGAGGACAGTAGGGGCACCTTGGGGCCATTCATTCTTCTGCAGCCTGCCTCAAGGACCAAGTTGTGGTGTCACAGAAAACCTTCCAGCTTCAATTCTTTCCCAGATGCTCCCCTCCCCACCTCCAGATGGTTATGATGTTTACCATGCAAGCATCGTGGTCTATTAACATGGTTACTACTCACCCCGAGAAATACTCCGCCTGAGCTCCAATGGGTCAGAAGCAGTTACACCCTCCCACACAAAGGTTTTTTCTTCTGGTCATCGGGGAAAGCTACCTGGCTTTGTTCCCCACTATAACCTTGGACTTACCCCATATTGCCTCCTCTCAGGATGTCTCTGCTGGTCTACCCTAAGAGAACTGTGCAAGCCTATGGTGTCCCAGGGTCAAATATGGGTCACAATCACAGGGCAACTCAAACCAACCAAGATCATTCCAGAACAATAGTGTCAGGCCATTTGGAATTCCTTCTAGACTCAAGCTTATTAGAAGTAACAATTTCAACCTGGCGTGGCTTACCTAAGCTTGGGCTTGGGGGTGCTAAGGACACTGTCATCATCGTCCATGTCAGGGCCACTGTCGCTGGGGTTCTCCACATCCAGAGTGTCATAGAGAAGATCCAGGTCCTCCTCCACCTCAGGAACATGTTCTGCAGGGTCTTGCTCCGAATCTAAGACCTACAGCAATGCTGACATGTATGAAAGCCACCACAGGGCCTGTGCCACTGCTTGGTTAGTAGTTGAAGGCAAACAAAGGGGGATGTGCAGCAACAAGACCAGGAGGACAAACAGTGAAACAAAAGAACACTTGACTGCCAAAACATCCTATTTTGTTAGCTTTCTTCTCTCTCTCTCTCTCTCTCTCTCTCTCTCTCTCTCTCTCTCTCTCTCTGTGTGTGTGTGTGTGTGTGTGTATGTTCACAGGACAGAGGCTGATGTCAAATATCTTCCTCTTAAGCTAAACATAGTGGTGCACGCCTTTGATCTGAGCACTCAGGAGGTGAAAGTAAGAATCTCTTGAGTTCGAGGCCAGCCTGATTTGTAGAGTGAATTCCCAGAGGGCCAGAGCTATACAGAGAAACTTTGACTTAAAAGAAAGAAACAAAACAAAACAATGCACACAAATAAACAAAAATCCCTCTATCTCTTTGTGCCTCATTTTTGAGATTGAGCTTCCCACTGAAACTGCAGCTTACTGTTGGCTACACTAGCTGGACAACCAGCGCCAGCAATTCTCCTGTCTCTACTTACCCAAGCACTGTGGTTACAGGTGTACATAGCCATATCAACTTTTAAGAAATGCTGGTGAAGCCAGGTGGTGGTCGTGCACTCCTCTGAGCCCAGCACTTGGGAGGCAGAGACAGGAGAATCTTGTGAGTTCAAGGCCAGCCTAGCTTAAAGAGCCAGAGTGGAGCCAACAGGCAGGGCTACAGAGTTGGTCCTAGCCATGACCACTTAGCGTTTTTTTTTTTTTTTAAGTGCTGTTGGTCAGAAAATGATACAAATACACAATAAAAAATGGATTCAGATGAAAAAGACCTCTAAAAGGCTCACATTATTAGATAAATGTATATGGGTTTATGAGAAGAAAGAATACAGAAAGCCATAGATTAAAGGAGTAAAGATAGTAAAAGAAATATTAAAAAGTAATAGAGTAAAAGAAATAAGCCATGTAAAGATGGAATATACACAGAGAGTCTGGATTATGTATATTATTGTGTTTTCTTTAAATTTTTAATTGCTGAAAAACATTTGATTCTGGGGGCTGCTAAGCTAAACCAACATAAATATTTTAAAGATATCTTCACTTCAAAATTTGAGTCTAAGGATATGCTACTTTGGAAAAGAGGTTTTGCTTTTGTTTCTACAGAGAATAGGAACCTGTGGATTCCAGGCTAATGTGGTTTGATGAAACAAGACCCCCCACAAAGGTCTCCATGAATCCTAAAAATATTTCATCCAACAAACAGCAGGAAGCAGTTGGGAGAAAACTATGCCTAAATTCCCAAAATGATTGCTTATAAATGTTTGTTTTCATTTAAAGGAGGATATGATAAAGAAATGAATATTTTGCATTGGTATAGACTCGGTCTATTGATACAAACTTAAGGTAGATTTATTACACTGTGTATATGTATTTCTGTTCTTTTTTTTGTGTGTGTGTGTTTGTATTTCTGTTCTTGTTTAAGGTATTATGTGCAGCTCATTAAAAATATAATGCATAATTAAGAAATACAGATTAATAGTCATCTGTAACAATCAAACTTTTAAATACGTTAGTTAGGTTTTCTAGAAATACAGAGATATATTTAAGTTAGATAGATAATCTTCAACACTTCAAAGACCTACAGAATATGGCATTTTAAAAGGTTTTAAGAACTTAGACTTTTCTCAACAACGAGACATGTCTGCTTCTGGTTACACCAATTACTTCAGAGAGGTTGGTGGGCACTGAAGAAACGCATTATGGAATTTGCCTTTAATGTGACAAGGCTAGCCATTTGGGCAAGAAACTGCTCTTGCCTGGACTGCTTGATGGTACGCTGTATGAATTGGACATGCAGGACCCACAGAAAAGTGACTGTTGGACTTTCCAAAAGATGGGATGGTCCTTCAGGGTTCATAGAAGAAACTGCTAGACATTCTGTAGTACACAGGAGACAGCAACTGATGATATTCTGCCATTACAAGGCAGAACAGATCTTCAAATTTCCTGTTTCATGGAAAAGTCTGCAAGATACTATGGACCCACATGCTGAAGATGGATGCCCTAATATTACAGAAGAACTCTGGGTGACTGTCCAGACAGTGAGATGTCTCTGTCAATTCTAGAGTTTTGGAAGTTGCTTATAATGTATTTCCTGTTAAGTTAGGAAATATTATATCCTTCTGGGATCTTTGATGGAGTTAAAGAGAGACAGCTGTAGTTTTGCTTAGTTATAATAAAAGATAAATTAGATATAAAACTTTAGACTCACAAAGAAATACTATTAACTGTAATTCTTACTTAATAACTGTTTTGCTATATGTAATTTTACTATGTTAAAATCAAAACCTTCCTTTTCAATTAGACAGAAAAGGGGAGATGATATGGGATGCCCTTCTGTATATGTGTTGCTTTTATTGGCTAATGAGTAAAGCTATTTAGACTAATGGCTTAGTAGAGTAAAGCCAGGTGGAAAATCTGAACAGAGATAGAAAGAAAAAGTAGGCGGAGTCAAAAAGACACCATGTAGCTGCCGAAGAAGAAAGATGCCTGCCAGAATATTACCAGTAGGTCACAGCTTCGTGGTAATGCACAGATTAATAGAAATAGGTTAATTTAAGATGCAAAAGCTAGCTAGGAATATGACTGGGATATCAGCCAAACAATGTTGTAATTAACATAGTTTCTGTGTGATTATTAGATTGGGAGACCAGGGCGCAGTCTCTGTTTACAAAATGCAAGTGGGAAGATGATATAAAATCAAAAAGAACTAGATCTTAAAGATTTGGAAAAGTCCCAGCTAGACCAGGCTGTAGAGTGAAAGTAGGAACTGGAGAGATGGCTCTGTAGTTTATAGTATGTATTGCTCTTACAGAGAACCAGAGTTCAGCTCCCAGCACCCAAGTCAGGCATCTCACGACTCTGTAACTCCAGCTCAAGGAATCCAATGCCCTTTTCTGTCCTTTGTGGACACTGCAGTCATGTGCAAAAATACCCACACAGATGTGCACACATGCACACAACTAAAAATAAAGAATTGTTTAAGATTAAGCATGTCAGGCCACAAGAAGTTTGAAAAGAGCAATATGCATAGAGGGAGCGAGGACCCACTCAACAGAATGACATGAGACAATTCAAGGATGCTTCCATGTTGAGGTCCTGAGGGCAGTATGGTTTCAAGTGGTTGCTCCTGAGGCACAGAGCTATTGTCTTCACAGGGTCCATGTGTGGTCAGGCTGCAGGAATGGCCCCTTAGACAGCATAGGAAGCCAATGTGTATGGCAACTATAAGTGCTAACTCTTCAAAGTTTGTGAAAATATGGCCATTTCAAATTGGTTGTTACAGGATGTGCTGTCCCAGGCAGAGGCCTGAGATGGAAGCAGGGCCATGTCTAAAAACCCTCTCCAGGGAAATACAGAGAAGTGATGGCAGTGGGGTGCTCTGAGAGGCAGAACTACAGTCTCTAGTCATAATGCCTGCTCAAGCGCTATAAGGCACATAGCTGCTATCTGAGACAGTGTAGGCTGCACTCAGGGACACTGTGGGGTGCAATGCCAGGTCCTAGAGCCCTGGCTCCAAATCAATGTGTCCTGAGGGCAGAGTATTGAACCAAAGAAGGGTTTTCTAGCCTTAAGACTGAATGTTTGGGAAATGGGAAGACAGTTCAGCAGTTCAGAGCACTGGCTGCCCTTACAGAGGAATGGTGTTTAGTTCCCAACAGTACCCACATGGCAGTTCACAACCATCTGTAACTCCAGTTCCAGGGAATCTAATCCCTCTTCTGACCTCTGTGGGCACAAGATAAGCACATAGTGCACATATGTACATACAGTCAAAACACTCACACCTATAAAATACATCAACACATAGTGCACATATGTACATACAGTCAAAACACTCATACCTATAAAATACATCAACTTTTTTTTTAAAGCTTCAGTGTTTGAGGCAAGTGAGAATAAAGGAAATTTCTACCAAGTCTAAGGACCCAAGTTTGATTCCTGAGTCTCACATGGTGGAATGAGAAAACAGACTCCGGGAAGTTATCTTCTGTCCTCTACACACACACACACACACACACACACACACACACACACACAAATAAAGTACAAGAACTGTGCTCTGCTGAGTTGTGGACTTACTTGGGAGCAGTTACCTACTCCCCCTTTTTCCTTTTAGAACAAAGTGCCTGCCTTGTGCTGGTCTCATAACTTCCTTTGGTTTCATGCTCACGCCTGGACAAGTACTGGTACAGACAGCAGTCAGACACCAAGAGTCTGAGTTGACGCTACAGTGAAGTCAGATTTTAAAGGCTATTGGGACAGAATGAAAATATTTTCTGTGTGGGAAGAAAATGAATTTTGAGGTCTAGGGGAAGAATGTTTTGCTCTGAAAATTTGCATCCCCCTAAACTTTTTTCTGTGTAGACCATGCTATTCTCCTGAGAGCTGGGATTAAAGGCATGTACCACCACTGCCTAGCTTCCCTAAAATTCGTATGTTGAAACCTAACCTTCAAAGTGGTTCAGTAAGAGGCCTTTGGTCTTGTGCTGCTCCCATCCACTGTGTGAGGATGTGAAGATGCAGCACTGTCTATGAAGATCGAGCCCTCTCCAGATAAGAATCTGCCAGCACCTTTGGCCTTTCAGTCTCCAACTATGAGCAGCATCCTTTGGATGTACACACATGCAACTCACCTGCCATTTTCTTTTTGGTTTTTCAAGACAGGGTTTCTCTGTCTATCTCTGACTGTCCTGGAACTCACTCTGTAGACCAGGCTGGCCTTGAACTCATAGAGACGCACCTGCCTTTGCCTCCCTGAGTGCTGGGATTAAAGGTGAGCACCACCACCGCCTGGCACCATTTTCTTTTTTAATTATTATTATTTTATGTGTATAGGTGTTTTGCCTGTATGTATGTCTGTGAATCACATGTATGTCTGGTGTTGGTAGAGGCCAGAAGGGGGCACTGGATCCTACGGAAGTTTTTAAGTTGTCATGTGTGTGCTAGAAATTGAACTTAGATCTTCGAGAAGAGCAGTTAGTCAGTGCTCTTTTCTGCTGAACTGTTGTCTCTCCAGCCCCTATATTTTAGTTACAAAGATCAACAAGTTTAGTTCTAGCACAATAATGCCAGTTTAAGATAATCAACAGCTCCACACAGGTGTGGGCACACTCTAGGACTGCTATGTGGTTTGTGAGTTGGACGGTGCTTGTGCATAGTTCCTAGTAACTGGGGGTGCAAAGACAAGAGATGCAGTTCTGGCTAGATGGTCTTCTCCTCATGTGAAAGGGAACAGCACAGAACAGATATGGAACAGATCACATGGCTTGATAACCTGCAAATGTGGGAGATTATTCCTATGAAAAGATAAACGTTCTTTCCCTGACCAGTGTCCATGATATTGGCTAAACCTTCCAGTTTAGGTTGAGGCTCAGAAGCCAGAACAGAAGTTGAGACTCAGCCCTATTGCTTTGGTGAACATGAAACTCTATGGTCAAGATCCAACTTCCTCCACGTGCAAGCCTGCATGGTCGTAGGCCGGGTGGCTTCCCTGCGATGTGCACACTTTCAGCTAAGCTGTGTTTGTCTCACTATGAGTTGCAAGCTTCAGGATTTAGGGCCTAGAGGCTATTCCACTGAAACAGGCTGGTGATGTTTTAGAGTGGATACTGGCCCTACAGAAAACTCTATGGCTAAGAAGAGCCACCTTCAATACCTGCACATGTGAAGAGCAACTGTTAGATGTTGGTGCTAGAGCTGAATTGGGACCCTGCTGCTATAAGTTGTGGCCCTTGCACACATGGATGTAGAGGGTGTGTGCACACTTTGAGGATCAAACATTCAAGTGTCCCCTCTCTACTGTGGGGCCAGACTCTTGACTCTGTTTTATGATTTTTCTTTTGATTATGAACAAACTCAATACCTAAGACTGGAGATTAGAGAAAATCTAAAAAAACCAAAGATTTGTGGCATGTTGACTATAGAACAGGCTGTACACGGCAGGAACTGGGGTAGGGAAACTCTGCACCTTCCATTTACTTTCTCTACAAACCTGAAACTGCTCCCCAAAAGAGTCTATTTATAAGAACCAATGATTAGACCTCTGCTAGTCCTCCTACAGGCGCACTATGACTTGGGAGTTCAACAGAAACCGGTAGGTGAGCCTGGTTCTTTGCCGGCCTCTCACAGCTGCCATCCAGGCTGGCAGGCAGAGGGCAACACCACACAGATCTGGCCTAGAGCTTCACTGGAGCACATTTTACCCAGCAGGACACCAGGGCACTTCAGCAGCTATGCAAAATCCTGCCTGACCCACTCACCTCCTCTGACACTTTAAACCTGCGCAGTAGCGCCACCACTTTCTGCTTGAAGTTCTGTTGCTGAAAGACAAGAAGTACAAGAATCCCACATTAGGAGTGATAGGGGAGGGAGGCCACATTCCTGAGACATAGCAAGGAATTGCACTCTGGACTCAATAATGAGGGACAGGAGAGATAGAGCTCATAGCTATGAAAGTGTGAACTGGGTATAAATACAGCCACGAGCCCAATTTTAGTGTCTGAAAGCACAAACTGAGGTCAGATTGAGAAACATGGGGGGAAGGGGGTAATCCACACCCACTGAGGGGCAACCAGGGAAGGGCACAGGGTGGCTCTGCAGTTCTAGAAGTTTCTGCAGGTCTTTCAGGCTCTCTAACACCTTCCCACAGCTCCAACTCCCAGAAAGGGCCCTGACCTCGTCTTCAGAAGGAGACTGCCACCCTGTGGGAGGTACTCAGGAAAGCACAGGATTGATGAGACAATGGGACCTGTACACTATGAGTTCAGTGAAGCTGCTCACACTGTTGGCTGTAGTACCTCTGCTCCAGCCATTGTCCTCCAGGTACTCTCAGCCACCCTTAAAGAGCTGACCCTAACAGGGAGGGTGCTTCCTGCACGGTCCCTCAGGCTGGCCCATGAGCTCCAGATGGTGCTGCCTGTATTCAGGGGAGATCCAGTTTGTATCCAGAGCAGCTTCTGCACTGTGGCTACTGTCTGCCCACAATCTCCTTTTCACATCTATCAAAGGCTGACAGTGCTGTACCTGGTCAGTACTGGTAAGAGGCTACCAATTCAGCCAGTCTTGCAGGCTAGTTCTGAACTCTAAGGTGTTCCAGGGCCCACAGATGGTCACTGTACAGGCTGAGAATGGGCTGAAGCCTATCCCAAGTTTCCTCCCATGGAAGAAGCCTAACTCCAAGTCTCTGTGTTGGCAGACAGCCCCTGCCCCACCCCCAAAAAGAAATTGATCCCACTCATGGTGAGTCTGAGTACTGTGTGATGGGGAAAATAGATCTTCAGGGTTCCAAGGCCATGTAAAGTTGGCGTGGGGCATGAGAGAATGGCAGCCAGAAGACAACCCTGTCTGGCTTATGTTCATTTGGACTGACAACAGTCAGGTGCTAGCTGACAGAATTCTGGCCTGAGGGCAAGTGAGAACTGTAAGAATCTTTTGGGTCATGTGTCATGTGAGGCTAAAGTCCTTGGGAGAAGCTGTCTGCCCTCTTGCTCACAGTCACCCATGAGCCTCCCAGCCACTGCCCACCCTCCTCACCCTTCCCTAGTGTTAGTAAAACTAGTTTCCACCGACCCTGGTCATGGACGTCGTTCTTACTATCGAGCGCCGCTGCTTCTTGGGTTTTCCCACATCAAAGTCATCCTCATCAAGATCCTGTGTAGACATGCACAATGCCTGAGGCCACAGCACCTGCACAGCAGGCCCACCCCATGACACTGCGACTGAGGCCATCACTTGGCAGTCAGTTCCTAACACTCTGAAGCCCTGCAGGGCAGCCTACGGACATCTCCTAGCCCCAGGGAGGAAGCAATCAGGTGCCACACATCAATTCCCCTGCCCTTCTCATCCCATGTGGCACTTGAGACCCACAGACCTCATACGGCCTAGCACAGGGAAGTCACCTTTAGTCCCAAGTCTCTTATCTATGGAGGTAGAAGGGGGGGGCTGTCAGGGTGCCTCTCCCACCTTAGGCTCAAACTGTTACCTGCCCTTGTACAGCATCATCACTGGCTTCCTGTTCAGAGGAAAAGCTCTCATACTCCTCCTCTGAGTAGTTATCTGTAGAATGAGCACACAGAAGGAAGAGTACCTTTAGATTCCACCTGATGCCATGGCAATGAGTTGGCAACAGAATGTCCCCCGGGAGCAGAGGAGAGCTGTAAAGAGATAGCCCCAGGTAGACCAGGAAAAACTTGGGACACCAGAGCTGTAGCCCTGAGCACCAAGAGCCTAAGGACAGCAGGCCACATGGGTATGGGGTCGGTGGAGCAAGAGAGCAGGGCAAATACAGTGACCCCAGTTGTCATGGCAGCAAGAGATGATGGCTGCTGAGCACCTGCCCCACACCAGATCCCAGGTGTTCAGAGCACCAAAGGTACTGCACAACAAACCCCCACGACACCTACATATTGTAGGTATACAGAACTTGTGATTGAACTTCAACAGCACACATGACTTTCCCCAAAAGGTTCTAATTAGAGAGAAATTCAAGAGACACTGCCGGGCAGTGGTGGCACACACTTTTAATCTCGGGAGGCAGAGACAGGTGGATCTCTGTGAATTTGAGGCCAGCCTGGTCTACAAGAGCTAGTTCCAGGACAGGCTCCAAAGCTACAGAGAAACCTTGATTTGAAAAAAACAAACAAAACAAAACAAAAAAAAAGAGAGAGAGAGAGAGAGAGAGAGACATATCGTATCCTACCCTAGGACAACCACACTTGGGACAGCCCTCCTACACATGTGGGCAGGAAATGCCATGAGCAAAGCAAGGCAGAGGAAGAAGGCACAGTGACTTACCTGTGGACTTGGCCTTGGGGCCAGCCTGCATTGCACTATCCTCATGGTCGATGGGCTGGCTGGACAGGGAGACGATCCAGATCTCAGCCACCTTGACAGAGGCCTCTTTGATGTTGCTGCAGAGGCTTAGCACCTGGCCACCCTCAGAAGGGTGCTGCATCACCTGGGGGGCATGGTTCTAGACATCAGGAGGGCTACCACCCCAGAAAGCTCCAATACTCAGGAGCAGCACACACCTAGAAGAAGGCTGCACAGGAAACCAGAAGAAGCCCAGGGACCAAGAAGATTGGCTGAGTGTGCAGGTCAGTGGCAGGCTTGTTATTTCTCTGACTACAAGCAGACATAGGAGTGTATCTTTAGACCACCCAATTCTGGCATCCCTGCTGCCCCTTGAAAGTCACTCAAATAGTTCCTGGCTCCCACTCACCTCTATCTAATGTTCCTGTCTGGGAACCTCAGTAGCAGGTACAATGTGAGACTGGGGGTCACCCAACACTGGAAAACTAGATGTCTAAGTTGTGTTTATAGAAGCCAAGATAGAATAGATACAAACATGGGCCATGTCTTTAATGGCATAAGAAGCCCACCAGGCCTGACTCACTGGAGTGCCAAGACCTGAATAAACTGGATAACTGCTATAACAAAGTCAGGAACCTAGCAAGGACAGGTGGCAGACCTGTCCCTGAAGACCCTTTGCACGTGCAAAGCTGCTTTGGGGTCATCTAATCAGACCCAAATGTTAAAATTTTAGAGAATTAAAAAAATTAGTACCTGGAGCCAGCAAGATGTCTCAGCAGATAAAGGTATTGCTGCCATACAATGACCTGAGTTCAATCTCTAGTAGCCACATGGTAGAAGGAGAAAATCTATTGCCACAAATTGTCCTCTGACCTCCATACTCATCTCTTTCCCTCTCTCTCTTTCATACACACACACATACACACACACACACAAAATATATAGCAAATCTTTAAAATTGGGAATTGATTTAGGACAACAATCAGTGAAGAAAATAAATTTTAAGGACACTTACATTTATTTTTACCAACATTTCAGAAACCAGGAAGGCAGGCCAACAGCTCCATGCCAAATACTGGGGCCTTCAAGTGCCGAGTGCACATAGGAGACACATGGAAGAAAACCTCTCTTACCTGATTCTATAGATGCACTAAGTGCTTGTCCCCTCCCAAGAGTGACCTCAGATTTGAGAACAGTAATCTGTTCAGAAACTAATATCTAGTTAGGACGCTAACCCCTTGCAGCACCAGTCAGTGTTGGAACACAGGACCATGGGTTGAGGGACACCCAGGCTTGTGTGAAACGGGATGGGGGACGGGGAGAGTGCATGAGTGTGCATGAGCCAAGATAAAGGTGGATTCTCTTTACCTAGAAAACCCGCTCTCTGGCCTCCTCTACTGGGAGGTTAGGGAACTTCTGCTAAAATCAAGCCTGTTTGCCTGTCTGATCACAGCAGCCTACTGCTCTCTGGGACATCCTGAGAAAGGCTGGCCCTGCCTAGAAATTCAGTTCCTTCACCTACAAAGTACCTTTTGGGCCAAGTAGGGCCCCAGGTAGATGGGCACAGACAAGGCCCTGCCAGGAGGCTTGTGCCTAGCTCAACCCTGTTCTGCTGCCAGCCCTTTTCTTCATGCTTTCTCAGCTTCCCTGGCCCAGAACTCCTGGCCCCTGGCTACAGTTGGGCTTCTGGGAACATCTTGAATTGGTACTGGCTGGCTAGGCACAGTCCTGGATAGTAGCAGTTGCCACTTCAGCACCTCTGTAGCTCAGCACTCAGGAACTCTGACCACCAGGAGCTGGTGACACTGAGTTACCACAACAAAGGGCTGAAGCCAGATCAACCTGGGGTCAGCCTCAGGTGGAGAGGGTAAGAAACAGAAGAGGGCAGTATGAGAGGATGAATAGTGGGCTTTGGGAACTACAGCTACCGAGTGAGCGGAGCCTTAGGAGTGACAGGATACAAGAGGCATATCATTCTTAAAAGCATAGGTGCTGCAGCAAGTATACCTTCGGGATGGTCATTTTGGCACAGCCTAGGAAACTGAAGGAAAAGCCTTTGTCCAGGAGGATAAGGAAGTTCCAAGTGACTGGATTGGGTGCTTAGGCCAGAGGAGAGGAAGAGGAAGGGGAACCTGAATGCACAAGTGGCTGAGTAGACGCTGGCAGCCCAAACAGAGTGGGTAGTTCAGGTTGGGGACAGTGCCAACCTCAGGTGGCCACCAACACTTGCCCCAGACACTAAAAGGAAATCCAAAAGATGAAAGCTCTATGACCTAGGGATAGAGTGGCCAATGCTGAGCTGCCCCTTCTCCCAGGCCATTCCTATAGCTAATAAGAGTCCAGCTGTTCAGCTTGGCGGCTTCATCTGCCTAGGAGCCCATGTCATCTCTTCAGTCTCCCCAGAACACAGGGCCTCCAAGAGACATGCAAATCTGCAGCTGTTGTCCTTCTTTTTCCTACTGCTCATCTGAGCTGCTAGGGCGGAGTGAAGGCTAAGGGGGCACCAGGAGGAGTGCAAGCACTCTTCTGGGAAGTGGAGTACACCTGGCTACAGGTACAGGAGTAGCCACACTGTGCAGCCTGTGCAGCATAGGGCTGAGGACTTGGGAAGTATTCACAGAGTGGCGCTCTCCCATTACAGTGGAACCCAACCATGTGGATTCTCTGACGACTTGGAAAATGGTCTATCAGACACATAAAAGAAATCTGTTCAGAGTTCTGGAGCCCTGGACACCAGCCCAGAAACCTACCTCAGCCATGTTGATAGAGCCTGCAGCCAATGTTTTATAGCCAAGGATTGTTCTGTTCTTGTATCGCTTTCTGCGCTGCAGCATGATCTGGAGCTTGTTGCCTTCTCTCTTCAGGAAGTGGGGGTACTATAGACACAGGTAAGCTTGTTTGAGGCCTGGTGCAGCATAGCACAATAGACCACCCCGAGGAACACCTGCTGACACTGTTAAGGCCTTGCAGTGTCCTGGTCCTTACAGCCCTTCAGCAGCCCACCCTCAGGAATCTGCAGTATCAGTGAGGCTACCTTCTACTTAGTGTCAGGGGTTCCATTTCCACACTAATGGAACTTATCTGCTAAACTATTTGGGACGGGTTTACATGTTTAGGGACATCTGAAGAGATTCTGGCAGCCTGTCAGTACACAACTTCCCACATGGTCCTAAGCCTCTGGTACCCTCCCAAATGTGGGAGTAGCTGGGTGCCTTCTGCAGCTGACCTTGTGCACCCCTTGGCTAAACTGCCAGGCAACATTCCCGTCTGCTGTAGGTTACCATGCCTAGGACCTGCACTTGTGAGAAGGGGCTTCACTCGGTGAAAGCAGTTCCCACAGGATTCTCAGAGCTCACAACCAGAGCCTGGTGTACATTCTGGAGGCGGGGTCTCCAAGTAGGCTGGTCATTCATACACATTTCTCAGAAGCCATAGGGCCATGTACTTGACACAGGTGTGTTTGGTGAATTATATTTCAATAAACTGGATTCTCTGCAGTACTGCACAATACCCAGAAGCAGATGGTCTGGGCTGACAGTCTACATTCTCCACAAGGCACTCAAAGGACTCTGAATTTAAGACACTGAGTTTTCTGAATTTCTACATAGTCCTGCCAATCTTTGCTAAGCAAGAAAATAAAATAACCCTACTTGATAATATATTTGATCCTTGTCATGCTTAATATTGACTGTGACCTTGAAGGATCTAGAATCGCCGGGAAGACAAGTCCCACCTAGGGTGCTCCAGTCAGGAGTATCTAGACTAGGCTATCCTTTCAATGCACCTATGAGGGATTATCTAGATTAGGTTAACTGAAGTGGAAAAACCCACTCTAAATATAGGTAGTTCCTCGGGTTCTAGGCTGGAGGAAACGAGCTGAACATCAGCAATCACTGCTCCCTGATTCCTGACTGTGGGTGCAATGTTACCAGCTACCTCAAGCTCCTGCACAACCTGGACTTTCCCCCCATGATGAACTGCACCTGAAACCATGAGCCAATAGAAACCTTCCTTAAGTTTACTTCTTACCAGGTATTTTGTCACAGCTATGAAACAGCTAATACAGACCTCATTATCCATTTTCTTTATTACGAGAGGGGGTGGGGAGAGAATCAATAAGATTTTCTAATTTTTTTCCTTTTTTTAATTGATATTTATTTATTTATTTATTTATTTATTTATTTTGGTTTTTCGAGACAGGGTTTCTCTGTGGTTTTGGAGCCTGTCCTGGAACTAGCTCTCGTAGACCAGGCTGGTCTCGAACTCACAGAGATCCACCTGCCTCTGCCTCCCGAGTGCTGGGATTAAAGGCGTGCGCCACCACCGCCCGGCTTTTAATTGATATTTATTGAGCTCTACATTTTTCTCTGCTCCCCTCCCTGTCTCTCCCCTCCCCCCTTCAATCCTCCCTCAAGGTCCCCATGCTCCCAATTTACTCAGGAGATCTTGTCTTTTTATACTTTCTACTTCCCATGTAAATTATATCTATGTGAGTCTCTCTTAGTGTCCGCATTGTTGTCTAAATTCTCTGGGATTGTGGTTTGTAGGCTGGCTTTCTTTGCTTTATATTTAAAAACCACTTATGAGTGGGTACATGTGATAATTGTCTTTCTGTGTCTAGGTTACCTCACTCAAAATAATGTTTTCTAGTTCCATCCATTTTCCTGCAAAATTCAAGCTGTTCTTATTTTTTTCTGCTGTGTAGTACTCCATTGTGTAAATGTACCACATTTTTCTTATCCATTCTTCGATCGAGTTGCATTTAGGTTGTTTCCAGGTTCTGGCTATGACAAACAAAGCTGCTATGAACATGGTTGAGCACATGTCCTTGTGGCACGATTGAGCATCCTTTGGATATATACCCAAAAGTGGTATTATTGGGTTTTCTAATTGTTTAAGAATAAACCTTGGCCAGGCAATAGTGGCACAAGCCTTTAATCCTAGCACTTGGGAGGCAAAGGCATGTAAATCTCAGTGAGTTGGAGGCCAGCCTGGTTTACAGAGCGAGTTCTAGGGCAGCCAGGGCTGTTACACAGAGAAACACTGTCTTGGGGGAGGAGGGGAAAAAAGAATAAACCTTGATCAAGAGAAGATGGGCACAAGTAACTCTGACAAGGGTATGGCCAACATCCAGGACACTGAGAAGGTGTATCCATCACTCAGAGAACTGATGAGGAAACATGTCCCTCACCCCCAAGGAATTAACCAGGGTATGTCTATCACTCTGAGCTCTGCCAGGAACTGAGTCCATCGCCTCCAGGGCACTGAACAGAGTAGCCATCACCCTGCACACCAAGGAGGAAGAGTTCATTATCAGAAGCACTGACAAGCGAGGGTCATCATTATGCAGGTGTCAGACTCACCTGGAGAGAGAAGGTCAGCGCCAGGTCTGTCTCCACCTGTCCACTGGGAGGCAGCACAATCTCATGCGATCTCAAGACGCGTTTGGAGCCCTGGAAGGAAACACCCTTCTGATCTAGAGCATGTTAAAGTGAACCAGCTTAGAACATCCTCACACCAACACTCTGAACTAGCATAAAGAAGGCCTCGAAGCATGGGGATGGGGTTTATGGGTATGAGTAGGAATATTTGTCTGGACCCTGAAAACCTGATTTCACTGCTGGGTTCTGCCCAGGAGATGGAAGGGGAAAACCAAGAACAGCTACTTCCTAAGCAACAGTCACCAAAGCTCAGCCCAGGGCACTGATGGCCTCTGTAAGGACAAGGCACAGCTATGAGTGTATGAGCCAACAAGGTACGCCACTTAAAACACATACTGTCACAGGGACAGGAAGGACAGCAGATGTTTAAGACATATTCAGACTGCGCAGGTGACATAAGGGCAAAGGCGCACAAAGCCAAACGAGTGGAGACTTGCCTGCCTGCTTAGATGCCAAGAGCCCATAGCACCTCAAGGGAGAAGTGGTCTCCTACATCTTTACCATAAACAGAAGCCAGGCCTCCTTGAACTCCAAGCACACATCTCAGGGAAAAGTGAGAGTCCTGCATGGATGAGAGGGTTCTGTGTGACAGAGGAGACCCTGAATGACAGATGAAAGTCTTACCGAGCACAGCTGTTACAACAGGTCTAGGATGTGTCCAATGCCACAGGTAGTATGTGTGGGGTCAAACATGAGCTACTTCATCCGGGCGATGATAGCACATGCCTTTAATCCCAGCACTTGGGAGGCAGAGACAGGCGTATCTCTGTGAGTTCAAAGTCAGCCTGGTCTACAGAATGAGTTCTAGAACAGGCCCCAAAGCTACAGAGAAACCCTGTCTTGAAAAACCAAAAAACAAACAACCAACCCCCTGAAAAACAAGATACGGGCTACTTCAGCAGGACCCAGGTACTCCTGGAAGAGGGTCACAGGTCAGTAGCACACAGGTGTCCCCCTCACCCAGGCACATACAGGCCTGCTTGGTATGAGGTTGCCTGACACTTGCCCTGCATATGTCAGTAGAGGGCCACCAGGAGCTCCATCTGAGCAGCCAGGAGTTAAAATCCACATTCTGCCTCCTGAGAGTGGACCTAGAACCTGCAGTCTTCAACATAGCAAAGGCAGCCAAAGGGCTAGTGGATGTGGATGCATCCGGAGGGCCAGTGAGGCTCTCCCCAAGAAGGGTGGGATTCAAGCCTATCCAGTTACAAGCTGCTCAAGGAACTCATGAGGAGTGGACAAAACACTGGGGTAGGTTCTAGTCCAGAAAGCCCCTTGTCCTGTCTCCTCTTCCTGTTCTTGTTCAAGCCTGTCACCCTGGGAGAGGCATGAAAGAAAGCTCTGGGTGGGTGGCTCAGTGTAGGGTAGGGTCTTTGAGAACGGTCCAGGGACCATGTGAGAGTGAGGCTGGCCACACTTGTGGGTGAGTGCTGAGGGCTTACCTGCATCTTGACAGCGATCACCACGGACAGGAGCTCCTTCTCCAGCTCCCGGAGCACTGCCAGTTTCTTTAGGGTCAGGCTACACAACCTGCAAGACATAGTACAGCCTTGTAGCATGCTTCCTATTATGCTGGCCAGTTGCCCAGAAAGCTGCGGGTCTGGCCTGTTTCAGCTACTTTGGGCATCCCTGTGAGGGTCACAAACCAGGAGGGGCTGGATGGAAAGGTCAGAGAAAATACATCTGAATGCCAAGCATGTGAAACTGAAGAACAGGGAGTTTTCCAAAGGCCAGGGTGCTGGCACCAACAGGATAGCTCTTAGCTGTGGGAAGACAGTTTTCCATCCCAGGATGGCTGCCCATCCCATGCTGTCACCTCCATGAAGGCGTGAACTCACCTCAACATTCTGCTCTAAGGCTTCCGACCTACATGGAGACAACTGCTGCCTACTAAGGGGAGTCTGCTGACATGCCCAGGATCCACTGCAGCTGTGCAAGCATTTGCCAACCAGTGAGCACAAAGCCTTCTGCAGAACTCTTTATGTCTGACTCCTTCCCAAGTAAGTGCGCACCTTCCTGGAGTTACCTGTGTCACCCACACCTGTGCACACATTCTAACACACTAACACATATATACATGAGCCCCTGAAACAACCTCTTGAAGACAAATAGGCCCCCCAAAGGTGTGGGAATTGCACACCTGCCTTGGCACTTTTCAGAAACCTCCACAGCAATCTATAAATACTGATAGCTTTTCTACCTAAATCCTGCTCTGTGACACTTGTCCAATGGGGCAGCACAATAAACAAGCAGCTGTCTAAATTAAAATGGCACTGATACCAGGTGTGGTAGCTCACGCCTTTAATCCCAGCACTTGGGGGGCAGAGGCAGGCGGATCTCTGTGAGTTTAGCTTGATCCACACAGCAAGTTCCACACCAGTCAGGGATACACAGAGAGATCCTGTCTCAAACAAACTAATAGCACTGCTTCACATTCAAGACAAACACGTCCTTAGAAGTCTAGGTTGGGCCCCAAATGGCAGGTCTGAAATTCTGCTTCCACACTTGAGCTACCACAGGTCCTCAACGTGACAATGAAATAGCAAGAAGACAAGAGGCACAGTGCTGGAGCTTGGCTTCCTCTCACATGAAAGCAACACGCTTCTGCCCTGGTGCCTGAAAACTATGTGTGGGGAAAGTGCTCCCTCAGCTGCCCTTCCTACCCTGGCCACAAGAGATGTCAAAAAGCTATCTGTGTCACAGGAAGTGTCAATCACTTTCATGGAAAAAAACAGTGATCCACTTAAGAAGGAACCCTCTCTATCTCAGCTTTATGACAAGGACCCCATTCTACTCTTCTGTGTTTAAGATTGGGACCCCACTGGTCTTCACTGACAGGGTGACTAAGACGAGGCTGTCTGCACTGTACCACGTTCAGATAAGAGAAGGGACAGGCAAGGGTCTCCCTCACAGGATGTGCCCTGACTCAACATCAGGAGCTGCAACCTGGAGACAAACACAAGTATCCCAGGCAGTCTGATGCCGGAAAGCCAGGAGCTCAGCCAGAGGTAGGTGGGAGTGTATTTCAACACCTATGGTCACCAGACAGAGCAAGATCAGCTCCTAATGGACCACCAAGGTCACCAGCTAAGCTGTACATGCAACTCTGGGAACCTGAAGGACTTCGTCTCACTATCTGGGAAACTATACAAATGAAAACTTACAAGCTATCTCTTTCTGGAATTTTCTATGTAACATTTTCATACCACAGCAGAACTTGGAAAACTGAACTATGGGAAACAAAACCGCAGTTGAGAGGTGGCTGATCTCACACCTTCTTTCCTCCTCTCTCTCTCTCTCTCTCTCTCTCTCTGTCCGCCCTTCTTCTGAAGAGGTAACTATTGCTTCCCCCATTCTCCCCCCCCCCATCTATCTCTATCTCTTCACTCCATAATCCCCCTACCCATTAAATAAACTCTATACCCAAGCTCTCTCCACATGGCATATGTCTATCTCCTACCTTACGCAGTCTCCCACCCGCCAGGGTCGCGCCACCGAGCATCTTTCAACTGTGATAGCAAGGCAACTGGAAAGCACACAGTTACCTGGGAAATGGCTCTGAGGAGACAAGAGTCTCTCAAAGGAAACTAGGAAGTGTCAGGAATGGAATAAAAATGAAGACAACATGTCAAAATTTGTATGAGCATCAATGCTTCTGCTGTAAGAAAAAATTCCAATGAGTACACTAAGCTGCACAAAAAAACTAAGAACAAGGAGAGAGAGGGAGAGAGAGAGAGAGAGAGAGAGAAGAGCAAACTGAACACAGAGAAAGCATTAGGAAGGAAACAATAAAGATAAAATCAGAAACAACTTGAAAATAGAGAAAATAAAAACCAGATGCTAGTCCTTTGTGAAGACTGAAAAAAATTCATAAGACCTCCAGTCACACCAAGATAAAAAGAAGACAGAAAATTCTCTTTATCGGGAATAAAAGTGCACTAGCGATCTCAGATATTCACTCCACAGCAGACAAAACCACCCTTACTGCTGCCACCCTCCAAGCTTATCAAGCTGAAACTGGTAGTGTTAGCAAAGCCAATGAAACACAAATGCTCTGAAGAGAACACTGGCAAATTCAGAGGCGTGGAGCAGCGCTTGCCGAGCATGCGTGAGGCCTGGGATTCCATCCAGAACACAGGAAATGCAAGCGGAAGACAGGGGGAAACAAACAAATCTACATACCATCTCTAGAAAACACACGAGAAAGGAATGCCTCAACTCAGGAGATCATCATTGCCTTTCTACCAAAAGCAGACAAAAACAGCCCAAAAATAAATTTACAAAAGCTGGGTTTGGTTGCTGGCACTCACCCACAGTCCCAGCACTCAGGAGGCTGAGATAAGGTGATCTGGGCCACACAGTCAGACCTTGTTGAAAGAAGATCCAGGGTGAGGAGCAGGAGAGAGGAAGGGACTAGGGAAAGAATACTACAGTCTTGTCATGAACATAGATGGAAGGCTCTTCTGCAGGTTATTTGCAAGCTAAATCTACCAAAACAAAGATATTCATTATTATACACGCCCAAGTGGAGATTTGTTCTAGGAATAAAATGCCAATTCAGCATTTGAAAACAATTTTAATAGACTATTTCAGCAAGCTAAATAAGGGGAAAAAACAACAAAACAAAAAACCCACATGTACTCTGAATCAAAATACTGTGGTTTGGTTCAGTTTCCTCCTGGAGTCATGCATTAAAAGCTTGGGCCTGTGACACTATTGGGTGGTAGAACATGTGAGGAGGAGGACTCAGTGGAGGAAGGACCACGGGACCCAGCCTCCTGGGTTTGTTTTGATTTTGTTGCTGGCTATCATGTGAGTAGCTTTCATTACACCTGTGTTGCCATCATGACGGCCACTCTACCACAGACTAAAAGCAATCTCTGTAACTTGGAGCCCTCTAAGTTGGTTCCTTGGATGTTTGCTATCATGCCAGAAGTCAACTGACACAGAAAGCTGGCACCAAGTGAGGTTGCTGTGGCAACAACTGAGGATGCGGGGAGTCCCTTGGGCTGTGTAGGAGGAATGTGGTAGTTTACAGAAGGCTGGAAAGACTCCAGCTCACTGGGCAATTCTGACATTCACCCTAAAAACTCCCAGCAAGCCAGGAAGAGAAGGAACCCCTCAGTCTGCACTGTCACAGCAGAAGCAGAGCCTGTTCCCCTTCAGACAGGATGGAGGCTGGCCTGACTGCTCGCACCTGTGTTTCACGAAGCCGGCTCCTGCCCAGGTCAACATACAAGGCAAGGTGACCAAAGACACAGGGTCAGAAAAGTAAAAAACAAAACCACCACTGTCTGCAGACAGCAGGATTGTAAATGGAGAAATCTAAGGAACGTAGGAAGAGTGAGGACAAGCTCCTAGGGCACAGGTTTACCAGGGTGACTGACTATAAAAAGCACCCCTGAGCCACATCTTGCTCCCAGTAGACAACTGGAAGTCAAGTATTCAAAAACATTCATTTATACTACTTCCAAATAAAGAAAATATTTAAATCCAAAGTAAATGCAGGCCTGTATGCTAGAAACTCCAAATGCTGGGCTGACAAGATGTCTCAGTGGGTAAAGGCACTCGCTGCACAAATCTGGCATCTGAGTATGATGTCTGGAACCCACATAAAAGCAGCAGGAAAGAACTGACTTCACAAAATTGTCCTCCGACCTCAATGCATGCATCTGGCCCGGTTATTTACATAAACACATTAATAATAATAAATAAAAGTTTAAAGGAAGCTTTGAATGATGAAGAGATCAACAACATTAGGAAACTGAGAGCCAGGCTACAGGCTATGTGTCAGTCTTCCCCAAACTAGTCTATCGATTTAGTACTATTTCAGTGAGACCACAAGAAGGGTTGTGTGGCTCAAGATCAACATGCTGATTTTAACTCTCACATGTGAAGGAGCTAGTACATCTAGAACACCTCTGAAGAAAGGGAAATAGTCTAGTTTTCCTGCCCTAACATCAAACCTGCACACAATGTGATGCCCACAGAAGGGGAAGCAGAGGTGAGTGGTCAGAGAAAGGATTATGAATTGGAATCCACCAAAATTTAGGATTCTGGCTGAAATGGTGGCCCACACTTTTAATCCCAGCACTTTGGAGACAAAGGCAAGCATCTCTCTATAAATCTGAGTCCAGCCTGGTCTACATACTGAATTTCAGGCTAGCTAAAGCTACATAGTGAGAACCTGTCTGAAACAAAAAAAGACTTTCTTCTGCAAAAATCACTGTTACAAGATAGACTTTGGAAATGGAGAGCTGGCTCAGCTGGCAAAGTGCTTGCCATGCAAACATGGGCATCTGAGTTCCATCCTCAAGCTCCATGTAAAATGTAATGCCCGTAATCTCAGCACTGTAGAGGCAGAGAAGAATTTCAGGGGTTCTGTAGTCCAGAACAACTGGTATACTCCAGAATCAGTGAGAAATCAATCACACACACGTATGTATGTATGTATGTACATTATGTATTTATTTAGATAGAGAGAGAGACTGGGGAGATGGCTCACTGATAGCTTCACTAGCTTCTCTGAT